TATACTACGAGCTCACAGTGTCAATGGAGGGACAGTGGTTAGGCAAAGAAAGTGTAATAGTGACATCTATATACATGTACAAATAATTGCGTACTCTTATATAAGTACAAGAGCGGTGTGCATAAAGATATTTGGGTTATTCAGACTGTGTGTATAGTATAGATATACATTGAAATTGTGGCATCGATACATCGTACTGTATTATCCAGTTCCCCTTCAGTACTGTATTATCCAGGCAAAACATTTGTACTGTTCCCAGGGACGAAAAAATTAATTAATTTTTTAGAGTAATATCAGGAAACTAACAGTTAAATTCTTTTGTGTGGAGATCACAGCACTTATAGTGCACACAGATTGTGTTTAGGTTGTCGAGGGACAGTCTGTGTTTAGGGTGTCCGGACTCATGCCCCCCTTCCAGGGAAAATTTTGATTTTCGATGAATCCCTTTGGCTCTGCTGGCCTTCAGAGACCTAATTAACAGACAATTTAGTTGTTTAATTGCTTCATCCTAGATTAGTCCATATGTTATATCTCAAGTCACTTCCACAAACGTACAGTTTTAAGTGCACAAGAAACAAGAAATAACGATAAAAAGTGCATTCAAAGCTAATACATAATGAAACCAGCACTTATTAGGTTTTTTCATAAAGGATAAATTAAACAGATGACTTTTAACTCAAAACATTGACTTCATACTATGACTTCATGTTTCTAACGCGTAGATACCTCAGGCTTCTTTTTCAAGAGGCATACATTGATTTTGAGAAGAAAGTTGGGTCGGGCCTAATTTTCTTAACGGTTGCGTTTTGTTTGGCCTTTAATAATATTTCTTTAAAGTTCGTTGGAATATTTACTTCATTTTGTATCAAATGACATGATGCATTTAAAGATATGTTAGAAACGCCTTTTTTAGCCTTATGAGTAACTGGAATCCTCCACTTATTGGTTTGGACTGACTCTTTTCATTATTTGTTACCCCTACACTCCCCTAATTTGCTTCTTGACTGTTAGTTGAATTGTATGCATGTTTTGAGCTTGTTTAGCTGCCCCAAAGTACAAGTTTAGCAAAACAAAGGTAAATATTTTATCTGGCGCTTTGGATTCCCCTCCAAGGTGCCAAATGAACACAACAGTTGCAAAGAGAACAAAACCCTCATTCTACCACATCGTAGGGTCTCTTGAAAGTTCCCCAAACATGTTCTTGACGCATTTTTATTTAGTTTATCTGCTTGGATTGGCTTCTAAAAGACAGTCAATTTTGTACGTGAGTCGATCCAACTTGTCCTGACACCCTCATGAAAAATTATTTTTATTTGCGTCCCTGTGCTCATGTAGGGGTCAGTAAATTTTGTCTCTTTGCTTCATTTCTCATGGAAGGACCTATTTGTCTCGACGATACAACGATAGGGTGGATTTTTCCCTATTACAAAGTAATGAAATCCATCTTAAGACTGGAATTAATCAAACGTTCTAAAAGCATGCCTTAAAAATAGCAGAATTTTTAAACGATTTCAAGAAAATGACTGCAAGAAATATTTTGAAATGCATTTTAAGCTAATCTAAAGGGCGTGGTCGCAAAAATTGTTAGCTCGCTACGCTCGCAAGAAAGCCTCTATTCAGAGTTATATCATTGGCCTCCGACAACCTCTCGCCGACCCTTCCCAATGTTGGTTTTTTAGTCAAATAAAGCTATTAACTCGAGCCCTCCCCCTACTTTGAATTTCTTGGCACCGCCCCTTGACTGCCAGTATTGTCAGAAAAAAGACAATAGTGTTAGTTATGGAGGGCGCCATTTTGATGCTGGCCCCCTAAGGCGAAAAGGGCCAGGCCGCCACTGGACTCGACTCTTCACAAACGAGGCTATTGCCTCGAGCGCGCGATTCTCCTTGAAAAAGCCTGCCACTTCTGTTCTGTCTGATTCTGATAAACAATTGTGATTATTCTCGAAGACGAGAAAAAGCTAAAAGGGGGCTATCTGCTAGCATCATTAATATTTTCTTGGCTTTATCGTCATCAAGGCCCTCGAATTCCCCTTCGTCGCTGCTTGAAGAGCTAGCATTGATCTGCCCTTCTTTGTAGATATCTGAACGTTCATCGTAAGTGAGGTCGAATTGACTGAAACTTTCCATCTTCAAATTATTCGAAACAAAAAAACAGAAATCCGAAGATATCACGTAACAAAATAAACACAACTTTGGCGGGCAAAATTCAGATATTGCATATTGCGCATGCGTTGATTCACAAAAGTCGAGCAGAATGTCGAGAGCCTGGCCAAACGCACTCGACAACCTTCAACAACACCTGAAACAATAGAAATGTTGAGCGTTACCACTCGACAATTTTGAACTTGTTCAAATTTGTCTCGACAACGCTCGACAAGGCTCAACAACACTCGACAAGGTGGCTAAACGTTGTCGAGTGAAATGTCGGGAGGGTTTGGCCGGGGCTTAATACTTTTGTCACGTAAGTGAGAAAGGTTCCAAATGCTACTTTGCTTTCATTTAATTTTTTAGAAATTCGAAGAGGATTTTCCTTGCTCTGAGCATTGATGACAATTTAAATGTTTGATAATCAGTTTGCTAGTCATCTCTTTCCTTTGATAAATAAATATCATTCTTATAAGAAATTTAGCATTAACAGCATGTAGACAGGACATATAGCTTGACAATCTGACATTCAAGCTAATGTTTACTTTCTCAACGGATTCTGGTAGTAGGGAGTTTAGGCTTTCATAATCTGCCAGGTGACTTTTTGGAAAATGCCTGGATGTCACGTGATTGATGACGTCATTTAACGGTAAAAAATCAGACAAAATCATCGTTAGCTCCTCACTGAAGGGTTATTTTTTAATGCAACTTACATATTTTGACTCGTCTCATTGCAAGCTTTCAAATGATATATATATTTAAGCAAGATTTGCCGACATAAGTATTTTCATTATGACGTCATAACAAATTTTGCGTGACGTCATCAAATATTTTATTGTCATAAAATGATACGTTAGCATAATTTTGTTTTAATATGACGCTGGCTGTCAGCAAAAGCTTTTCTTCCATATGTTTTTCAATTAAAATATTAGTATTTGGTTCATTTAAATTGAATTTGTGCCCACCGCAATAGCCAAAGTTCGAAGCAGGTAGTAGTCACTATCTGACGAGTGAGTCACTTCTTACTCCGAAGTCGCAAAGTCTTGCTCCCACTCTGAACCGGACAATTATTACTCTGCATCCGCATTTGAATGTTACACTAAATTGGAAGAATGTCTTGGCAATATAGGCTATCCAAGACGTCCTACCGATGTGCTGAAGGTGCATGACTTTTTTCAAAAAGGCTATCTTCTGCTGCGAAATAAGGCCATCTCATAAATAAAATACTCCATCTAGCATTTTTCTGATGGTGGATTTATATATGGATTTGGCTCCTTGCACATGAAATTAAGAAGAACAGCTTTATCATCAGCCAGCGTCATATTAAAACAAAATTATGCTAACGTATCATTTTATGACAATAAAATATTTGATGACGTCATGCAAAATTTGTTATGACGTCATAATGAAAATACTTATGTCGGCAAATCTTGCTTAAATAAATATCATTTGAAAGCTTGCAATGAGATGAGTCAATATATGCAAGTTGCGTTAAAAAATAACCCTTCAGTGAGGAGCTAACAATTATTTTGTCTGACTTTTTGCCGTTAAATTACGTCATCAGTCACGTGACATCCAGGCATTTTCAAAAATGTCACCTTGCAGATAATGAAAGCCTGAACTCCCTACTACCAGAATCCGTTGAGAAAGTAAACATTAGCTTGAATGTCAGATTGTCAGGCTATATGTCCTGTCTAATGAATGTCCCGTTAGAAATGAAAATATGAAGTATGATTAATATTGAGATTTGGGGGCAAGACATACACAATTTGTTTGATGTTTTTTTAGTGTTTTAAAAAATGTTTTTTGCCTTGCCAAATTATGGGTATAGTTTTCATTATGTCTGCAGAATTATAGAATTATAGGTCACATTTTCTCAATCATGTGCGGAACAATGGGTCCAAATTTTGAACAAAAATTGCACGTCTCCGTCCAAAACTAGGTTTAGCTACCAACGAGTGAAGTACGTATCTTTCACGACATTACAAGGTTCTATATTTTTTGTTAATGTTATCAAAACAAATCAAATACGTGTCTTATACACAATGCATCTAAATCTCGGTTTCGAGTTAGATTTGTCAATTTTTAGCTTCGTTTTATCGAAAAAATTGTTCAATTGGAATCTTCATCTTGAAATTTGTGTGTGCGGAAGGTGTTGTTTGGACAGTCAGAGCGCGAAAAACGACGTTTTCAAAATTTAGCTTTTCCTCTTCTACAAGAGTTCTGGAATTTGCTGCTGCAGTGGAATAATTTTCAATATAGGCTAACCTAAAAATGATGATTTCAAATCTGAAGTGTACATACAACAAGAAAGTCGAAATTTTGACGGTATCTCCTTGAAAAGTAGCCAGTTCTCAGAGAAACTAATACAAAGCTGTATGATATTTTGACAATTGAAATAGATTTGAATTATTACCTGATAATAATCAAATTTTATTAGTTAACGTGTTAGTTAATCAGTAATAGGCTGTATTTATTGATCACAAGAGATATCGAATTGTGTTGCCTACCTATGGCTTGAGTCGCCATGGTAACAGCGAAACCTCAGAATAAGCAGCGACAAACAAATTCGATTTTTATATAAAATTTCACCATCAACATACCCAGGTCATTATTACTTATCGCTAGTGCTTTAGGCATAAGATTCAGTTATTTTTGAGCGAAAAGTTGCCAATTTTCTGCTTAATAAACAATCAACAAACGGTTGCTAACTAACGGAACGCAGAGGCGTTGAGAAACATTATCTATAGGCTCTGTGGGATCATAGTATTATGTGAAGTATTGAAATAGCATTTCAACCAATGAAATATCAAAAAGACAAAGACACAGCTAACTCAAGCCGGGATATTTGCCTCGGATTCCCAATGGGGACAGGGTATCCAAATCCAAGTGATCGGTTGCTTTCTCGTTACACAAGTAAAACGTAAAAGGAGTAAGAATTTTATTTTGAAAGAACAGAATTAATTGCGAATATTCCAAAGTTAAATTAACTTTATCTCTATGGACAGAAGCCGATGATTGAGGTATCAGAGAAGTTACTGAACCAGTCAGAAGGCATTTCTGATTTCTCCTAATGGCCGGATTGTTGTCATTTGGCCTAAAAATCTTGTCGTTCAACATACTAATACTTGCGTTCTCTCTTGTCATTTTTCACGGAGAAGCAGGTTTGTACCCTGAATTTTGAAACAATCTGAATAGCTCAGTAATTTTATTTGGCCTAGTAATCTCATGAAATTTTATGACACGATTTGTTAAACAATGTCTCCACATCTTTAGAGTTTGTTTGCATTGCACATTATTTTCGATTGACCGCCAAGACTGATACGAACCATGACGTTAAGCTAAATATAATTAGTTTCAACCAATAAAGTGCAATATAGGCAATGAAATATCCAGCAAAATTCAACATCACTTTAGCCATCCTAGTGGACTTATACTGAATGTAAGCTGTTTGCAGGTTCTAGCTAATTGCGGTTTGCAGTAGGCCCTTTCATTTTTGTGTCTAGGTCCTTCTCAGTTTTGAACAATAGATTACCTCCCTTCTTTTTATATTTAAAATTTGACGAAAAGGAATAATAGACATTAATAATATAAAGCTGAGTAAAAGTAACTAGAACACATTTTTTAGGTACCCTGGGTTTAAAAGAAAGGGTTGAAATATTTTTATGCTAGTTAGGTCCTTTAATTAATTGTAACTTGAGCTTTTTTGAAAAATAGAATAAGAGTATAAGAAGAACGAAATTAGCAAAAAAAGTACAAAAAATTTTGCTAGTCACTTACTTTCAACTCAGAGACTATTCAGTAGTACTGAATCATGCTGAACACTAAATACTATTCAGGAAGTTGAAACTTGGCATGTTTCAGTTTTCTATCATTATTTTAGTTTCTTTAAATAAAAGTAATGTCTATTTTTGATTTTATTGCTATTCCTTATCATGCATCTTTTTTGAGAACCTTTAATTACAATGTGCATGTTAATACTTTTTATCAAGCTTTCCAAAATTTTATACTTTATTTTCCTTTATATTTACAATTTTGGCAAAGCTTTCATAAACACTTTTAAAATTTGAAAAAAATACTTTTGATTTTTTGAAATATATACCAAAACTCAAGTAAAATTTATCTTTATCTTATTCCTATTTTCGTGCATTTTTTGGTCATAATATAGTTATTATGATATGATAATTATTTGCACAATTCCAACAATTAAAAACTGGGTTAATATTCATAAAGAGAACCAAAATGCAAATATTGACAAAATGCATAATGAACAATGTAGCATGATGTGATCCAACTTCCAATGAACCCCTTTTATTGAGTCCAAAAAGCTCAAATGATTTCTAAATGTAATTTTGGGTCTTTAGAATTCATAAAACCTTTAAACTTCACAAAATAGTAAACCCAGTGGTTAAGATCATTAACTGCAGACCCCAAAGTCAGTGGTATGAGTCCCTGACATGACCAAAACTTTATCATGACCAAACTTTCTCTTGGAGTCAGAAGAGTCGCCAGCTCTCTGTAATTCCAGGAGTAGGAATCGCATGGTGTTGTTACATTGAGTGGAAGGACCAGGACAGTGTTTGATAAGCATTTACAGTGTGTCTTAAAACTATTAGATAGCAAAGAATACAATACAATACAAATACAAATACAAATACGAATACAATTTATATGCAGAACTTTAGTCTTGTTGTGATTGATCAGAATGAATTATTATCTGTATCACCAAAAACTTCCATTTAACCAAGAACCGTTACCCAAGTTAGTAATTATTTTTGAACACAAGGTACATGATGTCAAATAATGATTTTGTATTTACCCCTTTTATTCACAGAATCAGTTGTGTTTGATTGTGACCTGAACTGTACCTGCTCTAAGGCCAATTGTACTGCTGGTCAGTACTGGGCTAATTGTTCAATAGGATGTCTTCAATGCCCATCTGGACACTAGTAAGTAAATGTAGCTGTTTCAAAATTTTCAAAGCTTTTTTGAAGCTTAAAAGCTTTTTATTTGTTTTAATATTTTTTACATTAAAAATTTTAAAGTAAAAACTGTTTTTGATGATCAGCATAGTGAACTACCCAATGAAAGATCAACTCATTTATTTCTCATTTATGTAATTCTGAAGAGGGTCACTCAAACTCTAAAAATTTATGTTACCAGACCTTTCCCTGGGACGCTGGCAAAATAAATTTGCGAGGACTTTTCCACCCGCACATTTTTTCAAACCAACATTCTCATTTAATCCGTGCCGTTTAGCTTCCCAATGTTTGTACTACTTACCACTAAATATAAGGGTGTTAGTAAATAAAGAGAAAGAGGTTTTACATGTCTATGTGTTTATCAAATGGCGTTATAGATAGGAGATTTTCGTTTCCTTTTATAGCATATGTTAACAAACTATTGTATTATCTGCTAATACTTGCAATGGAATAGGAATTGTGTTCACACGAAAGGAACACCATAAAGCGTGATTGATGCTACAAATAATGAGATTGAGAAAAGTTACACCATACTGTCAAATAGGAAACAATTCCTTTTAAAGTCAGAACATATAAACACAACATTTGACCTTCAAAACCTAGCAAAACTGTGCCATATTCCAAAAAAGTTATTTTCCTTATTTGTCTGGTCTTAAGGAATGGTAATACTAAATTTAAAGGTATAAGTACACACAAAAATGCCTTCTTAAGGTAAATAGTATTTAAAGAATTGGCAAAGTAATGTATTTTTGCCTTTGTAATTACTCAAATATAAAATAAAGTAACAAAAGTTCAGCAAGGGCTAAATAGCCCACGCAGCCAAATTGGCAAAGGGCTTTTTATAGCCTGCATTGTTTTTCCCAGAGAGGCCTGTACTACCATATTATCAAATTCATTTGTTGCTTTGCCTCTGTGTCTTCATAATATGAAAATAGGTTGCTACAGTGTTTAGCATGTCATGATTACTTTACACCTGCAATGGCATGCAGTACAAACTGAAAAACTTTTTTTCTGACATTTTTCATTTCTGTTATCAAGAAATATTAGGTGATGCTTTTAAGGATACAATTGTTTTCTATACTAAACAGAAACCAAGGAAATTGACAGAGTATCTCTAATTGTTTTTCTATAATGATGGTTAAACTTAATTGGATAAAAAATTTCCAGCAAGTAATTATTGAATTGTTTTGCAACCATTTGAAGAATTTTCTGATGTTCATAGACCCTACTTTCTGTTGAAATATTGCCATTCAACATCTTTGAATGATGTTTCAATGCTAAGGTAGCTGGTATCATTGCAGTTATTCATAAAAAATATTCTACCATGGAAACTGACAGAACTTCAAATTTGACAATTTTAACTCCCTTATAAAATATCGAATTTTTGAATTTTTAAATCTATTGATCTGCAGTTGATTCTACTTATCTGTTTATTAATTTGAAATATATGGTATTGTAGCTGTGCAGGTGGAAGTGATACAACAGTTCCTTGTGTCGCTGGTACATATAGTGCTAATGCTGGCCAGAATAGTTCATCTTCCTGCAAGGTAATCTTAATTACACATGCAAGCAGTAATAGTATCTCTAGTTGGTTGATATTTTGTGCTTTGTAATGATTTATCAGCTTTGTCGTAAGCTATTCAATTATCTTTGATTTTGAAGAGGCTTGTTCTCAATGATTCGATACAATATAGCTAATAAAAACTAGGCCAGTAACATTAGGGACAGACACTTGTTCAGATATTGGGAGGGGGGTCAAGCCTATCGTTTTGATAAGATGATATCATATTTTCCCATTGTTTTAGAACAAAAGAAAATTTTCCTCCAGAATATTAAGGGGACCACCCCCCTCGCCCCAGGTTCCCACCACTGAGTAACATGATTGTTGATGATGCCAAACATCTAGGGGGCTTAATATGGATCTTTCTTGAATAATATGGCTTCTAGTTAGTAGAGATTGCAGGAAAATAACCGACCCGAGCGAGGCTCGAACTCACGACCCTTGACTTTGTACGTCAAGTGCTCTACCGCTGAGCTATCGGGTTGTGCTTTCAAGCCAACACCCAAGGCCAAGTCATTCACCCCTACTAATTATCTTTCAAAATTCTGTTGCCTCTAAATGGCTTCTAGTCTATATTTTGCCACTAAGTGATTATTTGTTTTTTATAATACACATCCTTAGTGTTCTAAAATTCTATAGTCACAATTATTGTTGTTAGGCCTGTCAAAGCGGTTACTACAGTGGCAGTGGTTCTGCATCTTGCTCACCCTGCCCTGCTGGACAGCACTGCTCTGCAACAGCTGTTCTTGGAAGCTGTTCCTTTGGCCAATATTCCTTGTTAGGAAATGGATCTTGCCAAACATGCCCCTCAGGCTATGTTTGTTCAAGTGCTGCACAGGCACCACAGGTAAGAAGTTTTTGTTATAGGATGCCCCATCTTTGTGATATTTTCTTTACAATATCTAAGGTATATTCATATTCTTTCCTTAAAGATAGCTTTAAGGCTGAAAAAACGGTCCTTTTTTACGTCTGTTTTCACCTAAAGGATGAAAAAACTGATTATGTTAATTGGAAAAAAGGACCATCAGTCATCATTTCTCTTTTACCAATTTGAGTTGGACGTGTTAAACTCTTCCAGCGAAAAAGGATAAGTTTTTTTGTCTTTTTGACAAGGCACTAAAATCTTTTGTCTCAAATGTCTCTATGTTATGTCATGGCATCTGCTTCAGGGTCAAACAGTGCTACAAGCTTGATACATTATGGTATAGACAAGAGAATCCCTCACCACAGTGCCTGGCTGGAAAGTTCTTCAGATTTCAGGGCTCATTCTTAAAAGCCTTTTCATATTCGACACAATTCTTCAAATGGCATTCATTCAGCAAAGTTGCGGAAACCTCTAACTGTGGAGCCATGGTTTTCCCCCAAATTGCTTTAATTTCACCTTTTTTCGCTTGGCAATAAGTGTAAGTAACAAACAGGCAGCAGCTATTTTCTTTGTCGGCCCAACCATGATGAAAAGAGTGAAAGGGAAAAGGGCTCCTTTTTAATGGATATGTGTAAACAGCTGACCGCCATCCATTTTTTCCATTTGTGTTGTTCAGTTCAGCATATGTGTAGTCTAGTATTTACAAGTCTGTTTGAAATAACAAAAAAGGCTTGATTCATGTAGATAGAAAACGCTAATTTTCTCACTTTGATACTTTAACTTTTTAACAGGAAAGCAATCACTGATATAAGATTTTAACTGTATTTTGTTGAGCAATAACAGGACTTTCCCGGAAAGAATCTAGATGGGGCAGGCATAATGTAATTCAGCTTTTAATGTTTTGTTTGTGCCTTTTGGAAAAAAACCTTGACAAAAGTTTAGAGCTTTACGGAAATACCCAAGCCTCTAAACTACTAAACACCATATGGCACCATATGGACATTATCAACACTCATTTAAAACATCCAATTTTCACTTAGCATATATTGTAATTTTTAGTATTACAGTTGATGCTTAAGCTTATTTATTGTGATTTTAATAACATCCCTTTGTTATGCAGCTTTGTCCTGGTGGAACTATTCCAAACACAACAACACACACATGCACTGAATGTGCAGCTGGTACTTATTCAATAAATGGGACAACTTTTTGTAGTTCCTGTCCAAATGGTACATACAGCTCAGCTGGGTCATCCTCTTGCACTAACTGTCCAGCAGGCCATAGGTATATATATATTCAGTAGTTTGGTTTGAAGACATCAGAGAGAAGAGGAAACCTAGGACTACTTTTAGACAATAGTTCTTAAAATAGTTGAAGAACTCCAATGATCAACTTAATCTCTGAGATGGTAACTTGCACAAGAGGTATACTGGTAACTGGTAACTGGTAAACCTTGGTTTCCCTGTTTTGAATCTAGATGTAGATTGTATTTTAATGCTACTATTACCAAATGCCAATGTTCCTAATCCTATTGAAATGGTAGGAGCCATCACTCTGCAACACATATTTTTCTTTGTAAATTTTTATAGCATTTTTAAAGAAATTGTGACAGTCTGCGAAATCATTTGCAAGAGTTTTTTGCTTTTCCAATGCTTTTTCCAATGGTTTTGTTCAAATTTAGCAGGTCATGGTTTTGAGAAAGGTGAAAATTTTCTAAAATACAAATTTTCACAAACTAGTTCATAAGTGAAAGATATATATGTAAGGAATCTACAACACTTGATTTATCTGGAAGACAAAAGTAGATCTTTTGCACAAAATATTTTTGTAAGGTGCTGGTGTTATCAATTTTTTCTCTTGGAATCTGATACATTTGTTTCTTACCTGCCAAGTATCTAACCACATGAATAATTTTTTGCAGCTGTGGAAGTAAAACATCTCCAGTGCCTTGCAGTCCTGGAACATACCCTTCTGGTGACAAAATGTCCTGTTTGCCATGCCCTGCAGGTTTCTATTGTCCAACAGGTCAGCTGGCAATTGTATGTCCAAATGGCACATACCAACCCGAGACACAGAAAACAAACTGTAGTATGTGTCCAGCTGGGAAAATGTGTACTGGTAAAAATGTGCCTGCCACTGATTGCTTGAATGGGACCTACAGCATCCTTGGCTCTTATGAATGCCTTAACTGCCCTTCAGGTCACCAGTAAGTAGAAATTCATTGTTGATGTAGGCTGCAATGGTCATCAGGAAGATGACTCTCCTGGTTCCACATTGCCCTTTTTCAGATTTGTTTGCTTGATTTCAAATGCATACACAGCAGCACAATAATTGATTGCCATATCATCACATGATTCTCTAGAGCTCTAATCATGAAAACATGTGAAAATATGCTCTAGGTTCCCATTTTTATTACTGGCATTCAAAGTATAAGAGCTCACAAGTTGGGGTTGAGCACTGTTGATTCAAGGGTTGGGGATTTAAGTCCCTGGTATGACCAAACTTTCACTCTGAGTGAAGGGAATTGCAAGCTCTCTGCGATTCCAGGCATAAGGATCACAAGCTGTGGTCATATTGAGAGGTAGGATAAGAACACTGCTTTATAGGCATAGCTTCTCAGAGTCCTGAAAGCTACTTTGGAATGCTAGGTAGACAAAAATACAAATGCAAATACAAAAATATAATTGTGTATCTATATTATCTACACAATAAATAGCTGCCTCTAATTGTATAGAAAATATAGGCCTATGCATTTATGATCAAAAGAGGATAAAGACTCTTTTGCTCAGTAGATTTTCAAATAGTATTTCCATGGTTAAAAGTTCATAACAATCAGGAAGGATTCTCCAAAATGCATCAAATTCTGTACTGTTGATCTATCATTGTCTTGCTTTTCCACCAAGCTTATCTTCCCTTCATTAGCACTTTTCTACACAGTGGTTGTGCAATTCTCCTTTAGTTGGCAACATGACTGTGCCACTTTTATAAACCTGTTCAAAACAGCTTCAATTGGATGCAACCGTGTTTGAATTACTTCTCATTTGACAACGAGAAGTATTTTGACAAAATTTTGCACAATCAAAATTAATTCATACTCCTTTGATCAGTCCAGTTATTTAGGTAGAAATTTTGCTGTTCCTTTGAAAAGAAAGTTCTAGCCGATAGTGCTGAATAAAGTTGAAGATATATCCTTGCCTATTTCATAGCTTCCCCTTTTATATCGTTTGGCTATTTGTTAATAGCCAGACAAATGAAAATTCATGTTAACCTTGTACCAAAATATAATTTGGCTCAGTGTTAAGCATTTGGCCATTATGCTTGAAATTATTTGTAGAAGTCGCTGAATATGATTAAGACAGCAAATATTGTAGATTTTCTTTATCTTCAGACGCTACCCAAAGCGTTGTCTCGTTACAAAAAGGTTATGGGTATCGTAAACATACGATATGCCCGTTCATGATAAGGTGATGCACTTAGTAGATGCACTGATCATGCACCCTAATGCAATATGACCATTCCAAAGCGCTTGTCATCAAATGTACTTTTATGCCCATAGCTGCCCTGATAAGTCGACTGCAGTCCCATGTACGGCAGGGACATACGTGTCTGGCAGTAAAATGTCGTGTGAGCCATGTCTCATCGGACATTACTGCCCAACTGATAAACTAGAGGCATCCGTTTTATGTACGAACGGAACGTATCAAAATGAAACGGGGCAGACATCTTGCAATGACTGCCCAGCTGGAAAAGGTTGCTCCTCCACGTCCATTACGAGTGATTGTCCCAATGGAACGTACAGTGCGTTGGGTGTGTCTGAGTGTTTAGTTTGTCCAAGTGGTCACAGGTAAATGTCATTTTCTCTCTGTTTTGTTTATGCACACGCCTGACACTGTATTTTTTGTCGTATTTGCTGTTTCAAATTGTTGTTATTTGTATGTTTAATTTTTAAGAATATTTTAACACAGAAATGACTATAAAGTAAAGTACCATTGTTTGTTTGTGAAGCAAACTAATGGCTTGAATTAAACTAAATTTAGATATTTAATCGTCACTGTACCATTGTTTCTAGGATAAAAATCTAACCTACATTTTAACAAATAATTTTCTGTTTTTGTGTCATATACTTTCCCTTATTTTACATCATCTTGACTCACTGTACAATAGCTGCTACCTTTAGTGAATGAAAGAGAAAAGTGTGATGAACTGCCTCTCAAAAGAAATCATGGCTGTACAGAGCTGTGTTTCGAATAAGATATATACGTGGCTTCGTTAAATTGGAAGAAATGGGTATTGTAGAGATGCGATCTGTCCATTTATGTTTAGATTTTGCACTCACTAGATGCACTGATCATGCACCCTAATGCAATATGACCATTCTAAAACGCTTGTCATCAAATGTACTTTTATGCCCATAGCTGCCCTGATAAGTCGAATGCAGTCCCATGTACAGCAGGGACATACGTGTCTGGCAGTAAAATGTCGTGTGAGCCATGTCTCATCGGACATTACTGCCCAACTGATAAACTAGAGGCATCCATTTTATGTACGAACGGAACGTATCAAAATGAAACGGGGCAGACATCTTGCAATGACTGCCCAGCTGGAAAAGGTTGCTCCTCCACGTCCATTACGAGTGATTGTCCCAATGGAACGTACAGTGCGTTGGGTGTTTTTGAGTGTTTAGTTTGTCCAAGTGGTCACAGGTAAATGTCATTTTCTCTCTGTTTTGTTTATGCACACGCCTGACACTGAATTTTTTGTCGTATTTGCTGTTTCAAATTGTTGTTAATTGTATGTTTAATTTTTAAGAATATTTAACACAGAAATGACTATAAAGTAAAGTACCATTGTTGTTTGTGAAGCAAACTAATGGCTTGAATTAAACTAAATTTAGGTATTTAATCGTCACTGTACCATTGTTTCTAGGATAAAAATCTAACCTACATTTTAACAAATAATTTTCTGTTTTTGTGTCATATACTTTCCCTTATTTTACATCATCTTGACTCACTGTACAATAGCTGCTACCTTTAGTGAATTAAAGAAAAAAGAAATGATGGCGGTACAGAGCTGTGTTTCGAATAAGATATATACGTGGCTTCGTTAAATTGAAAGAAATGGGTGTTGTAAAGATGCGATCTGTCCATTTAAGTTTAGATTTTGCACTCGCTAGATGCACTGACCATGCACCCTAATGCAATATGACCATTCTAAAACGCTTGTCATCAAATGTACTTTTATGCCCATAGCTGCCCTGATAAGTCGAATGCAGTCCCATGTACAGCAGGGACATACGTGTCTGGCAGTAAAATGTCGTGTGAGCCATGTCTCATCGGACATTACTGCCCAACTGATAAACTAGAGGCATCCGTTTTATGTACGAACGGAACGTATCAAAATGAAACGGGGCAGACATCTTGCAATGACTGCCCAGCTGGAAAAGGTTGCTCCTCCACGTCCATTACGAGTGATTGTCCCAATGGAACGTACAGTGCGTTGGGTGTGTCTGAGTGTTTAGTTTGTCCAAGTGGTCACAGGTAAATGTCATTTTCTCTCTGTTTTGTTTATGCACACGCCTGACACTGTATTTTTTGTCGTATTTGCTGTTTCAAATTGTTGTTATTTATATGTTTAATTTTTAAGAATATTTAACACAGAAATGACTATAAAGTAAAGTACCATTGTTTGTTTGTGAAGCAAACTAATGGCTTGAATTAAACTAAATTCAGATATTTAATCGTCACTGTACCATTGTTTCTAGGATAAAAATCTAACCTACATTTTAACAAATAATTTTCTGTTTTTGTGTCATATACTTTCCCTTATTTTACATCATCTTGACTCACTGTACAATAGCTGCTACCTTTAGTGAATGAAAGAGAAAAGTGTGATGAACTGCCTCTCAAAAGAAATCATGGCTGTACAGAGCTGTGTTTCGAATAAGATATATACGTGGCTTCGTTAAATTGAAAGAAATGGGTATTGTAAAGATGCGATCTGTCCATTTATGTTTAGATTTTGCACTCACTAGATGCACTGATCATGCACCCTAATGCAATATGACCATTCTAAAACGCTTGTCATCAAATGTACTTTTATGCCCATAGCTGCCCTGATAAGTCGAATGCAGTCCCATGTACAGCAGGGACATACGTGTCTGGCAGTAAAATGTCGTGTGAGCCATGTCTCATCGGACATTACTGCCCAACTGATAAACTAGAGGCATCCGTTTTATGTACGAACGGAACGTATCAAAATGAAACGGGGCAGACATCTTGCAATGACTGCCCAGCTGGAAAAGGTTGCTCCTCCACGTCCATTACGAGTGATTGTCCCAATGGAACGTACAGTGCGTTGGGTGTGTCTGAGTGTTTAGTTTGTCCAAGTGGTCACAGGTAAATGTCATTTTCTCTCTGTTTTGTTGATGTACACGCCTGGCACTGTATTTTTTGTCGTATTTGCTGTTTCAAATTGATTATAATTTGCATAAATCTACGCCCGAATTTCTTTAGGACATGTTTTCAGATACTCTGTAAACTACACAAAGTCACATTTACAGTTTTCTGTCTTGTTATATCGTGAAATTTGTCATAGAACCTAGGCCTGCATTTTCGTTTTTCCTGTTGGTCCTATGTGTCATTCACTTCCTTTACTTTATACCAAATTCCTTGTATACAAACGTTATCGCTTCTAAGATGTAAGTATATGCACTGTGTATCCAAGACTGTTTGTTGGGAACGTATCAAGGTACTAGCTGCCCAAATTGCAGTCAAATGTGAACTGCTCACGAGAACGATTTGTATTGTGGTTTGGCTTGTTTATTGATATTTAATTGTTCAACAATTTGAAGGAATTTTAAATCAAATTGAGTCTCTTCTTTGTTGTTTTTTTAACTTTTGACTAATTTGTTTCCTTCTTGTTTTTGTTGTCAGTTAAAATCTTTTATGGTCCTTAAAGAAGAGACTTGTTTTATGGTTTTTTTCTCGAGATGTTCTTGATATTCGTTTTTCTTTTCACTTTCACTTTACATGTACAGTTACATCTTGAAAATAACTTTCTTTTCGATATGTTTGCTTGAATCATAAGCTAATCTCTCACCTTTGGCAACCATCAAGTTCTTAGCATTAGCAAATCGTAAAGTAATGGTTCACTCGATTATGCCGCACTTTGCTGCAGCTTCATTTATAAAATTCATAAAAAATACCTGTGAAGCTCACTGAGCCACGGTTAAAATAAGATCATTGTTAGGACTAATGTATTATTGTCAAATACTGTTTGATGATAGCATGAAGATTTAGCTATAAAAATTTGGCATGCAGGTGACATCATTTTAGGCAAGACATTCTTATTCTGCAATGGAACCTTGTCAAACCTATTACCCCTCCCGACCAGTGCAATGTCTCTTTATCTGTTACGATAATTTTGTTATTTGTTCTGTGCAAATGTATGATTTTTTTCATGCTTTAGTTGTCCAGAAGCATCGTCCACCGTGCCTTGCCTTGTTGGTAACTATGTGTCCGGAGATAAATTGTCATGTGAACCTTGTCCAGCCGGGAGCTATTGTCCCGAAAACCTGTTAGATTCACCCATTGTTTGTACCAATGGTAGTTATCAGAATGAAACCGGCCAGGCATCTTGCAATCCATGCCCGGCTGGACAGAGTTGTCTGTCTGTATTTTCGTCACCAGTCAACTGTCCAGATAGAACTTATAGTGATGTTGGTGTATCTCAATGTATTCCATGTCCTTCAGGCTACAGGTAGGACTTTTGTCACTTCTTCATTTTCATGTTGTCTCGTAACCCCATTGCTTTTGTTTAGTGCCCTTTTCTTCGATAGGTAGACATAGATCTCTTTAGGTTTGTCATGTATTCTGTTTGTAGAGTCAATGCCAAAGTAATGCATTTTACTACTGTAATAGTACCTATATTTAAAAAAATTGTGGCAGCTCAAAATTCATTATATGTACCCAGTCGCTGATGCAATTTCATTTCATGATACTAGTATAAAACAGTTGTATTTGATAAAGTACAAGATAAATACTCCTGAGAGAAAATTAGATTATTGCAACAGTGTTATGTTTAATGCTTATGTCTTTGAATTGTAAACATCCCATTCATGCCCATAGAGATAACGCAGGCTTCTGCCTTTCTAGCTGCCGTTATGGTTTCGCAAATCTCTACAACAGAAACCTTGCCTTTTATCGTACTTAGCTAGTCGTGTTTTGTACTGGAATTTGTTTAAGCGTAAACCTTGAAGTATTTCTTGCCATGTTTAATTTTGCCATGTGTAATTTGGTTATTGTCTTTGCTCCCATGTATCGTCATTACATATGTTTGTGGTTGTTAAAGTGTATTGTAAAATGCATTCTCTTGATGTAGCTGTCCCGGTAAGGCCTCTGCAGTTGGATGCACCAAAGGAAACTACGCTGCTCCCGATAAATTATCATGCCTGCCTTGCCCTGCTGGGAATCAATGCCCTTTTGATTACCTCGACTCCCCCGTTGTTTGCGCTAATGGCACATATCAAAATGAGACTGGCAAGGAAGCTTGTCTCGAATGCCCAGCTGGGAAAAAATGCATGTCTTTGTCAGGAATACCAGTTGATTGTAGCAACGGGACGTACAGTCTTTTAGGAGAGACCGATTGTTCCATTTGCCCTAGTGGACACAGGTGAGAGAAATGGTCTATCCTAGATGTCATGGCTGCAACTGACATCCTAGATATCATTGCTTTGCTGGAAAAGCCGTTTTTGAAGGAAATGATGTTCTGACTTTTTGAACACCAACTCTGCAAAATTTCAGCTTGTTACACTTTGATTTTAAGACGTTCTATCATTTGTCGTTTTTTGTGTCATTTTTTGTACCATATGACGTAACGTACGTTTTTATGAAGCATTTCATTGTTCAATGTATTTGTCCAGTTAAAAAATAGAATTATATTTTTCTTTTCAATCGGGATCCCAGTCCTGTCACCAAACTTTGACAGAAAGCCTTTTTGGACAGTTTTTCTATACGGTCTTCAGTACTTTTAGGCCATCATCTACTTCTCTTATCAAAATATTGTTTAAATGAAATTCAATGGATAATTTATTAATTTAAAGTTTATGCATTGTAGAATTTAGCTAGCACTTTGTTTCCCTGCATAGTACTGTACACCAACCATCATTGTAAGAAATTCAACGCAAATGTACTGACATGCTTTGTGCATGCAGTAGTGATCTCCCTGTTAGAATGCTGGCGCTGTCAGTATAGTTTTGAGCCTCGGCTTGTGAAAAGTATCTGTGAAACCTTTCTTTCAGTTTTTTGCTCTTTATTGCTCTCCTATAGAATAAAATTTACAAATAGCGGATATTATCCGTCTACCTTCAAATTTTTTGCGTTCAACGACTGTAAATGAATTATTTGTATTTTTAGTTGTGCAGACAAAAAATCGTCAGTTCCATGTACCATGGGTAACTATGCATCCTCTGATAAACTGTCCTGCAAGACCTGCCCAAAGGGTTACAGGTGCCCAACAAATGAGATGGCAGCGCCACTACCTTGCTCAAATGGAACGTACCAAAACGAAACCGGGAAGACAGTGTGCCACAATTGCCCTGGGGGCTTTTCATGTATCAGAGCGGAAGATACTCCGGTTCAATGTAGTCTTGCAGAATACAGTCCAGTCGGAACTAGTCCGTGCATCGAATGCCCTCCGGGACACAGGTTTGTTATTTCAATTTCGAGCTCGAAGGATTCGGCTTCCTGAAGCCTACCATTATATCCTTTACTAGTTTGGTAAGTGGATGAGAGGAAGAAACTTGAAGCTTATTTAAATCTTGTATCTGCCCATACAGGAGCAGCTGCACCCTTTAAAATCTTGATGTTAGTACGTTTATTAAATTTTTCCTAGTTAAAAGATTTTACATTTTTGGCTGCCGATTTCAATATCACATGAAAGTCTGCCTAATCTTAAAAAGGAAACATTGATAAAGCATTATAATATTTTTTAGATTTTTGTGATCCTTGTGGTTGTCTTTCCTGCTTAGGAAAACTTAGAAAAAGCAACGAGTTTCATATGTTCAAGACGACTGCCAGAAATGTCGGAAATTGAAAGTCAATAGTAGTAGCTAATTAAAATTTTGCACAGGTTGTTATCTCCTGTACAAGAAAGAATAAGTCGTTTACTTTGTCCTCGTAAGCTATTTAATCGATAAGATGGAATCGCCAACCGGTTAGATGATAGATTAATATTATCTAGCAGCGGCAGTTTTTCAGACTAATTTGGCCAATTAATATCAATGGTAGTTTTTTGTAACAGATAGAACTTTAGCTTTTTTGCTACAGTGAAGTTCAGTTCTCATTGCAAATTCTAATATATACATACATACATACTGTATGATTGATTGTGCTCAGCTGAATCTTGCTCTCTATCCTGTGTTCAATTGTAACTCTCTTATGTTTTAGTTGCTTATTTGGAGACACCCCTTTTCCTTGCCCTGTAACGACTTATTCAGCAACTGGGCAGATGGAATGTGAACCATGTCCACAAGGACATAGGTGCCCCTCTAACATGCTTCCGGCGCCTATTGCCTGTACCAACGGAACGTATCAAACTGCTAATGCACAAGTTGTTTGTCTAGACTGCCCTGCGGGGTATTCGTGTATTAAACCAGAGGATGAGCCAGTCGAGTGTAGCCTTGGTACCTACAGCTTTGTTGGTGTCAGTGTATGCATCCGGTGTCAGCCAGGCCACAGGTTAGCCAGGGTAGTTAGCATTGTAGCATCAAGTCTCCTCTGTGGTTCATCCGTGTTTGGCCCCTGTTAAGGCTATCATACCTTTTAAAGTCAACTGGGGAATCCTTTTAACTTTCACCCAAACTTTCCATGAGTAGAAAACACCTCCTGTTTCCTTTACAATGTATCGTAAATTACAGAACCGTATAAGTAAGACAAGTCTCCCTCTTTTGCTTCGAAATTTGGTGCTTTTAGAATAAAAAACAACTGTTCACTTTACTTATTTCAATACACGGATAAACCACAATGTGGCTTGAAGCTCATAGACAGATGTCGATGTAGTTAGTTGGTAGCTCCAGCTTGTAGTATAGTTCAGCTTTCTTATTTTAGATTTCAGTTGCAGTTTGATAGGCATCGTTATACTTTTGCTTTCCAGTTACAGCAAGAGTAAGGCCGAATTTCAAAACCTAACTAGAAAAAGATAAGTTCGCTTCTCAATAGAAACTTATTCAAGATTTCGTATGGGGCCTAAGAAGCTACTCCCCTTTCCTTTGTTGAATTTCTTCTCATTAGGTTATTGTTTGGTTGTTTTGGTATTATTGTAATTAAGCAATAGTTAAGACATGATTTCTCTTTGGTCGCAGATCTTTCTATCCCTTTGGTCGCAGAGGATTTTTGCTGTAAATAGTCCATCCTGCATTTCACATTCGTGTCTAAAGATATTATAGCATTTTATGCTACTTGTCATTCTCAACATGCTCTACGTTGTTTCGTTATAATTTCATTTAATAGTAACTTAAGTGTTCTTCAAAATAAACTTTTATAAAATCTTTTTAGCTGTGAAAACCGAACAGTTCTGACTCCATGTCTAAAAGGATATTATTCAGCAAATGACAGACTCTCGTGCTTGCCATGCGAGAAAGGATTCTACTGCCCAGTTGACAAGATGGACCAAGGAATTGCCTGTAGTAATGGAACATATCAAGATCAGACTGGACAGCAAGCGTGCATCACCTGCCTTGGTGGCCACGAGTGCCCGTCCGTTGCTGCCACCCCAGTGCCGTGCAGTAACGGTACTTACTCTCTCCTCGGTGATGTAGACTGCCAGACGTGTCCTGCCGGATACAGGTGATTCTAATAGTCCTTTTTTCGTCGTTTTGACTACTTCTCAATTCGAATGCCGCAGAGACAATGTCACTGTTGTGATCAAGAGATCCTACCATTGAATTTGTTTTTAGTTACCATTGAATCTTAAAGAAAACAAGTTTTTAGCTTTTACTATAAATCAGTCTAGATTATATTGTCGTTTTTTTAACGGAACGGTTTATATGTTGCTCCATAGTCATGTAAAATGTTCATTTCATTTGGAATCCCTTCATTTTTGTCTCACAGTTGTGCCAACAAATCTGCTTCTCCTGTCCCTTGCGGCCTTGGATCTTATTCTCCTGCTGGAAGTGCTCAATGTTCAGATTGCTCTGCCGGACAATATTGTCCAACCACGACTGCTGCAGCCCCCATCGCATGTCCATCTGGGTATTACAACATACTTACAAAGCAATCATCATGCATAATATGTCCAAGAGGTTTGTTATTATATTCCTTTGTGAATTTTGGAAGCACTTATAGAATGCATGTTTAGAAGACCACATGAAATTTCTGCCATTTTGATGCTTCTTTTCAAAAACTTTACGTAATCAAATCAACCGATGCTTAACCTAGCAATTTTTTGAAGGCATGTTTTGAAAACGACTTTTCCTGGTACAGCTGAAAACATTTTGTCTTATTTGATATATATTTCTGTTAATTCTGCTTTTTGAAGATGTATATTTTTGCAATGTCCAGGTAGTAAATGTCCTTACGGAAACCAAAGCCCAGAGCAATGCCCTCCTGGTTATCACATTGATGCAACAGGCCAAACAAAATGTGCCAAGGTGAGGTTGCGTTGTTAATCGTAAATCAAGTAGAGCCTTTATTTCTAGTCAGATTTTTGTCTTGCCACATTGATTTAGTTAATGGTAAACATTCAGAAATGGAGAATTTCGATGCAGAGTCCAAATGTTGTGTTATTGACTTGGTTTTGTGGAGAAATAACCCACGAGGATCGCCAATCATAGAATCTTATGTCAAGGAATCGTCAACTGCCTAAAATTTAGTGAAATAAAGATAGTCTTTCTGTTTTTATTGTCTGACGTTTATACTCAGAAGAGCGTCGGACGAAAAGTGCTTTAGTATGCTATGTTTCATGCATTCTTCAAATCTGCTTTTGAGAAGTTGCATTGATTTTATTGGCATTTTGTTAATATTTTTTATTGTTTCAGTGTTCTAGTGGGTATTACACATTAGCAAATGGAACTATCAATTGCCAAGCTTGTCCGGCCGGAAGCAAATGTCCATTGACCGACCAAGCCCCTATTGCGTGTGGTGCAAACGAGGTTTGTACACTACATATGCCTTATATGATTTCAATTATTTGGTTAAAGGAAGAACTGTTTCTTTTATAAAATCAAGTATTACTTTCTATTTTCATAAATGGGCTTGTAGCATTCATTATAACCTTTATAATTTGATTTTTAATATGTTTTTTATTCCACTCTTTTTTGTTTTAAGACTGTTATCTTGCTCAGTGCAAAACGCACCCTGTTTTTGAAAAATACAGTTCTCCTCAACTTCAATCATTATTTCTTTATTCTTTTTCTATTTTATTTATAGACATTTATATAATATTATATAGTAGTATATATAGTATACAAATATATATGTAGTTTCTGTTTGTTTTGTTAGTTTAGTTGTGTAACTGACAATATTTGCTTCTACTTAATTCCTTTTGGTATTACTATGGAATCATTCTTTTCGTTTCAACAACATGAATAATTTCCCTTGTTCTTCTTTAATCCAAGTATTCTCTTGGCGGAGCTGCCAGCTGTACCCTTTGTCCAACAGGAATGATCTGCTCAGATCCAACCAAGCCTCCCACTCCATGTGCTGTGAGTATATATCTAACTTTCCAGTCTCCAGTTTGATAACAAATCAAGTTTGATATGTTAGATGTTGAATCGCATTCTTTGATTTGTAAGAGATAGTAAAAAGAAAATTTCAAGTGACAGAAAAAATTATAGCACAATTTTAATATAACTAACTATGTTCAATTTTATTTCATTTCATTTTTTATTGCTATATTTGTATCGAAGTCTTTGTTGTACTGAAGAATATATTTTGAAAAATAGCTATCGAAAATCCAAATAAGAACAAGTTCTATGCTTTATTTTGACGTGACCAAAAGTCTACATAGGTTTATTCTGTATAAGTAATCATATATGTGATTCTGAGAGCAAGTCAACGTGAGCATGTTTTTCTGACAATAGGGTTTTGTCAATGTTCTGAAAGCACAGTCTTCACTGCTAGTATTTGCAATATTCTTATGAATGAATCTATACCAGTTTTTGTGTTGTGAAAAAGCAAATGCTTTTATTTTAGACTGGTGAGTTTTCAAATGGAACATCATGCGTCCCTTGTTACAAAGGGCACTACTGTCCTTCGTCTGCTTCTAACCCAATGCCTTGCCCAGCTGGTACATTTGCTACTGCAACCGGATCAGTATTTTGTCAACTATGTCCTGCTGGTTTCTCGTGCCTCAATGCGTCGCTGGCACCTGTTGCTTGTGATGCGGGATTTTACACCCCTGCCGGACAAGTTATATGTCAGGTATGCTTCTGCCTGCTTATAATATTTGATTATAGATTAGTAACTATAACGCTATGATATTTTGTCATGAATAAATTCAAATAATCTCAATGTGAAGTGTAGCATCCGATTTATTACCTATATCTATTTGGATACTAGGATATCATTAAGATTATTTCTTGTATTCGGGATTTGTTGAGTATATTTGTTTTATTGTTGTTGATTAAGCCCCATTTTGATATCAAGCTGTGATTGTAAAAAGTTCTCTTGTAATAATTTGAGATCCTTCCTGAAATATTTCTTCAAATTTTTTAGTAAGCTTTCCAGATTTGCGTGGAAAGGTTTTTGTACCCTGGGAATTTACTTTCAATCTTTTTACACTATCTGTGCTGGTAGATTCCGTCGAATGTATTCACTCTAAAACTCATTTTTAGCATGCCCATTCTAGTATTTCGTCCTTCACTTACAAATGTATACTGATTGGAATGCATTTGAAATTAATTATGATTTCTACAAAACTCTTGACTAATGAAACATATTCACGTAAGATATGCAATTGATTTAGAGTAATGTTCTGTTTCAATTCAATGCTCTTTTCTTTCTACCTACCCGTCCCAGCCCAAAGAATCATATATATTTTTCTGGAGATATAAGAATAATTGAATGCGAATCCTACTAAATTTCCTTTCTTTTTTATCCAAAAGCCTTGTACCCTGGGAACATTCAGCTCAGGAGCTTCTGCTAGCTGTACCCCGTGCTGGAGTGGATACAAATGCAGTAATGGAACCACACCAGTCAAATGCCCTGCCGGTAAATACAGCCCTGAAGCTAAAGAGAGGTGTCTTGACTGTCCTACAGGTGAGCTTCTGAATGATTCCTTGGCTAACAGCTTAATGATACTCTACTTTTCAAGCTCGTTTTGCTGATGTAGGGTTTCAATAAGAAATTTAGTTCTTCAAAAAAGTATTTTTCTACTTTGTAGCAAGAACTGTTTAATCCCAATCTTATTTTTAGAAGTTTTCCGCAACTCTATGCTCTTTCGTTTCTACTCTTTTGGTTTCCCATCTCCCATTAATTTTTTTTATTTCCCCTCATTCTCTGCTTTTACTACCTTCCTCGGAGATTGTAGTTTTGTTTGTGTCAGAACATTATGCAGCAATTTCGTAATCGTTGATTCTTATCTTCTCCAATTAATTTTCCAAAAACATTTTCGTATATGCAATTTGTATTATATTTTATTTCTCGCATGGACGACCGACATTTCTGTATGCCTTTACGATCTAAGTAGGTTTACTTTTGCTTATGTGAAGTAAAGTTTTTATATAATTTGTCGTCTATCCTAAGGCTACTATTCTGGAAGCGGTGCTGCATATTGTAGTCCGTGTCCGGTCGGTTCTACCTGCAATGACCCGTCTACTTCACCCGTACCATGTACAGCAGGACATTTCTGGACTAAAAGCACAAGCGGAGTAAGTTCAATATCTCACTCAAATCTCTTTCTTAAGAATTTGAATATATTTTCTTTGCTTTTGTACACGTTTACGCGTTCGTTATTTTTTATTTTTGATAACTTGCCTTTTCTATTTATCAAACCTTTATTTGTTTTCAGGTTCCTGCTTGCATTCCATGCCCAAAAGGGTACTACTGCCCCTCAATTCTATCAACCCCACTACCATGCGGAAATGGGACATATTCCCTTGGCTCTAACTCTAGTTGCTCAAGTTGCCCGGCAGGCCAGTCGTGTTTGGATCCTTCGCTAGCGCCCGTCAACTGCCCGTCAGGAACCTACAGTACTCTTGTAAGTATAATTTTCTTTTACCAGCATTAGCTCATTTCAATCATTACTGCTAATAAAATTCCTTTACGAGTAAAAAATAGTTTACCATGTCCACTTCACCATGTAACATCAAGATTTGACAGTCTATAGGCTTCAAAGCAACTATCGAGGGAGTGTCAGACTTGGATAGTCGTTCAGATAGAAAGAATCATGAATTAATGCAACACAATTTTCTCTTGATCTTGAATCAAACTGAAAAATGAAATGGGAAATATAGTTAAATGTTTTATGGTACGTTGTGTTATTTGTTTTTCGTTCTCAAAATAAACAAAGTTCCTTGAACCATCCAGTTTAATTTTAGTCGTATTAATATTTGTGGTTTAATTTTCAGGGAATGGCCGAATGCGTGTTGTGTCCCGCCGGATACTCGTGCCCAAACCCGGCTGCAACCATCACAGTCTGCACTGCTGGAACATTTTCACTGCTGGGCCAAACAACCTGCGCAGATTGCCCACTTGGTCACATGTGTCCCAGTGCAAAAGAGAACTCTGTAAGGTGTCCGCTCGGTGCCACTACCAATGGTTTGACAAAGGCCACCAACTGCACTGCCTGTCCGGCTGGCTCGAAGTGTGAAACCCCTGAGTAAGTTTTTGTGCATTCTAAATCAAACATGCCCGATTCCATTCTACAAAGTGGCTCCGGTGCCCTACTTTCATTCATTCGAAACAAGTGTCCTTTGAAATATTGTCCTTTTATTTCAATCACTGATGGATAATTTTGTAAGAGAACAATAACTGTGACTTGAGAGTATAAGCCTCAGGTGATGACCAAAGATTAATAGAAGTTTGGATCAAGATATGATCGAATTTTGCGGTACATAAAGCTTTCAATCAGAAATGACTTTTCCTAGTGTCTCAGCTTGTAGTCTATTCTTGTAAGACTTCGACAACCGTTCCTTGCTGGGTAAACCTTTCGAGTTTGAAGCAAACCCCCTTATCTATTGACATTTTCCTGATAACATTCCTGCAATATCTTAACTTTAAGGGCTGCCCTCGGGAGGGCACAGTTTTTGCAATTAACCCATGCTGAGGCCTTCATTCTAATGCTGTAGTAAGTTAAATCCTGTTTTTGTGCTTTATTCATGCAATCAGCTGCTAAATTTTCTTTTCAATAGGAGCGCAGTTACAGCTTGCTCTGCTGGACAATATTCTCTTGGGTCTTCAACGACATGTTTGAACTGTCCTGCTGGTTTTAGATGCCCGCTTACTAATGTGAGTACCGTGAATGTCAATACCACCTCTTGTTACACTATAAGATCCCTTTTGAGCCACGAAAAAGAATGAAGAAATGTTTCGTTGCAGACCATGAGTTGTCTTTCGAAATATTTATAGTTTCTCTGCAACTTCCACCAAATCCCTTTTAAAGTTAATGAGTTGCTTTTTGGATGCACTGATTAAAATCCAAGCCCTCTGCTTTTCATTTATTAGCCTAGTCAATATTTTGATAAATTTTCTCATATTTTATACTTTAATCATTGTGTAAGCTAGAAGTTTTAAATAGCGACCAAAATAAGATATACAATAACATTTTGCATAGACTGTTATTTAAAATCAGACACATGCATTCCTTCTTTTGTCAGATTTTGGCACTGTTGAAAAGACTTGATTGAGTGATATAAAATTTCAGCATAATTGTAGACAAAATTTTGGTAGTGTCCCCGAATGGACGCCTCCAACCTATTTTCTTGGACATATGAAGCAAGGCTTGTTGAAAATAGGCTTTTCCAAGGCTACATGGTTCTTTTAGACCATGTTCTACTTAATATTGAATCAAGAGCCCTTTCATAGCTTTTGATAAAATATAATAAAAATATAATGGACTTGACTTTGCTATTCAAATGACATGTGACTTGAGGATGCCTTTTTGTTTAAATAAATCAGCAAAGACCAATTTCTTGTGATCCTGGAGAATTTGCTTCTACGGCATCAACAACATGCACTATTTGTCCCCCTGGCATCGCCTGCCCATACATGGCATCGAATATTCAATACACATGTCCTCCAGGTAAGAGAAATCCATTTTTCCTTTCTTTAGCAGCAGGGAATTAAAACACATTATTGATTTCATGCTATTTGTTCTTTTTTCTTGACTTGATTTTCCAGGTTATATTCTTACCTAGGCCTGTTTCTTTTGGTTTTTTTCAAATTTGTTGAACAACATGGTCATCAGGTTTTACTCCGACTTGCACTCCTAATGCAATCAACTGTTCTTTGATGGTTACATTCGAATCAAACTTACACTCTAAATTGTCTTGGTACACTTTTCTGTAATGTAGGAAATAAATTTCTTTGGAACGCACGACGAGGGTGCCTCCCTTTGGATATTAACCTCCGCCTCCTTTGCTTGAAATCTAATTAATATCATATCATAGCACAAGTACATATAATAGAGGTCACACGAAAGAATATGCTTCTTTATCTACGAAATCTCATTGCAGTGAAGCAACAGTGTTTAACTACCGGTTTTGATTAGCTAGGCTTTATACATATATACATAAGGCGGAAGTGAATTCATAAAAGTTTAATTGCCAGACCTGTAGAGAGGAACAGTTTCAGATTGTTACTTTCAGTTTAACGCCAGCTACAATCATCATTTATCAGAATAACAATTTTAGAGATCTAGTGGAATGAGATATTCCAGTTAGAAGTATGGTTTTTGCTCTGACTTCAAGAATTTTGCATCGAATTGTATTCATATATAGCGCTTTGCTTTCTCTACGAATAAAATATTTCAACATTACGAAATGGAGACAAGCCCGTTTCACAATGCAATCGCCGTCCCCACCTAATTCTGAACATGTAAAATACAGTTATGGGAATCAAGCTAACAAGTTCATCGTAGATTTCAAGATGCTGTTTTTGTTTTATTCAGGCACATATTCCATTGGAAAGCAGCAGCAGTGTACAGTATGCCCAAAAGGGAAATACTGCCCGTCAACGACTAACGCTACAGTGCTTGACTGTCCAACGGGACACTATTCGTTTGGGGCAGCTGCAGCTTGCATCTCTTGCCCAAAAGGGTATGAGTGCCCAAATAAAGATGGAAGCGCTAATGCTAAATGCGTCCACGTGAGTTTGATTGTCCTATCAAATGTTGAAGCCTGATTTCCCTAAGTGTTCTGCTTTGTTTTGTTTATAAAGTTTACTCAAAATGTATGCATACAGAGGATTCTAAGACATTTTTTTCGGGCAGAGGGTGGTGGGTAAGGGTCAAAATGTTGTGTTGAGATCAATCCGTTTTGCTGGTTTTGGTGTTACCTGTGCCTATGATTTTTCGAAACTGCTTTTTCGATGTTTTTCATTTTTCTTTAAAACTCCATGTTGTCATTTCTGCTCTTCTCGTTTTGCCTATCTTATTTCGATTGAAACCCAGCATTTTATTTTTAAGGGTACTTACTCGTCGGGCAACTCTACGGGCTGTTCAACCTGTCCAGCAGGATTCGAATGTCCTCGGATAGATATGAATTCACCAATTCCATGTACAAATGGAACTTACGCTGTAGCAGGACAAGTCGTAAGTTTATTTCCACTTTCTCGTATTGCGTATTCCTGTATACGTTGCTTGTCCTTTTCATAGACTTAAATATCTTAATTTGTAATTTCTCTGGTTTATAAGCAACCACATGTCTAAAAGTATCATCGTCCTTGTAATGTCGTTAAGTATTTTGTAGGTAATGTAACTAGTAAATTTGTATTGTTAATTTTTATTGGAATGTAAAAGAAATGTCTCAAAGCACCAAAAGAGAGTGACAGCCTTAGCCTTAGATAGAGCAGCTGCTCAGACTCAACGAGATATCCATGACTTTTAGTGACAGAAATGCGCTATTTTCCTCTTATACCAATTTGGGGGTCTTTGATTTGATTGTAGGTCTTTTGAATTCTTACGTCAAATAGACTTAAGTGAAAAGCGCTTTAGCAATGAAATCGTTGTAGCGTGGAAAGGTTGTGGTGATTCTAGCTTTGAACATCCAAATGAAACCAATGTATTCATCAATTAAATAACCATCAATGCAATGAATCGCTCAGCACCGTGTCTCTGATGGAAGTTTTAGTTTGTACCCGGCCAATTCTACTTTTTTACTCTTTCTTTTACTTGAAATGATTATTTGTTGGTTTTAGCACCTCTATTGGTTATTTACCTCTTAAACATGTGAATTTGGTCTTTCTTTTGCAACCTGATCTGTTACTAAATAGAACAATCATTGCGAGATATTTACACCAGTTTATCTTTTTCTCAGAGTTGTACGGCCTGTCCACCGGGATACGCTTGCCCGTCGTTGAATTCTGCGACAGTGACTGCCTGTGCCAGTGGCTACTACAGTATTGGACGTCAGATGCAGTGCACCATGTGCCAACCAGGCTATGCCTGTCCCTCGACAAGAGACAACATTGTTTTTACTTGCCCCTTAGGAACATATGCATTGGCTGCTAAAACGGTAAGGTCTCAAATTGTTAGTTTATGCTAAATATGCAATGAGGTGTAATGTAATGGGAGTCGAGCAAGGCATACTTCGTAAATGAATCTTAAATTATGCACGCAGAAGAGCAAATTATTTATTACAACAACGCTATCTTAGATTTCAATCTTCATAATGTAAAATAAAGTAAATATGTATCGTATAATCACAAAGAGCCAAAAGCAATTATAACTTACTAACTAATCTAATCAGCTAGCATCACAAGATACTAAAAAGATAAGATAATCGCCAACCTATTAAGAATTTCAGAATTTAATGAAGAAATTGAAATAACGAGAGACTTATAAGAGTAATCACAAAGTTATCACAAAATTTCTTGAGCAGTGAATTAGCTTTTTGGAATGGATTTCAATGTTGTGAATGGAATGGATTTATGTTGGAGCAAAATTTTCTCGTAGCAAATCAAGGTCACGCTAACCTATACTTTCTGAAAATATTGCATAGTGGTAAGTTTAGGGCACTGAATGGTTTAGGTGATGTACATGCAACTACGTGTAACTTTCGCTGAGTGTAGGTTCTCTGTATTTGACCAGGCTTTCGATTCCTAACATAAATATATTCAGCGTAAACAAGTAAAGCTAATCACGGGTTATTCTTTGCTCAGAGCTGCACTCCTTGTCCTGCCGGCCAGTTCTGTCGAAACACAACGGTCGTTGGAACGGCTTGTTCAGCTGGCTCATACAGCCTTGGGAAGCAGACGGTATGTACCCAGTGTCCAAGTGGCTATTCATGTGCCGATGCAACAAAGAAGCCAGTCATATGTCCCGCTGGGAAGTACAGTAACTCCTCTGCAACATCCTGTGCTCCATGCACAGCTGGGTACTTGTGCCAAGAAGGAAGTACCTCTGCTGCACCCATTGTGGGTGTCTGTCCAATGGGTTCTTACTGCGATGACAGCATAACTGCTAAGCAATGTCCCTCTGGCACTTATGGCAATACAACTGGAGCAAAAAGCCAATCTGAAGGCTGTGCTACTTGCCCTGCAGGCTACTATTGCATTCAAGGTACTGTTGGCTACCCCAATATGGCATTACGTTGTCCACCGGGTCACTACTGCCCAGCTGGCACTCTAACACCGTACCAGAACCCTTGTCCAAATGGTCTTTTCAGCAGGAATGTTGGTAACGAAAGAGTGGAGCAATGTGAAAGTTGCAAGGCAGGATACTACTGTCAGGGCGGCGACAGAACCGGAGACAGCTTTTGCCCGATGGGCCACTATTGCCCTGTTAACACAACGGCAGCAACTCAGTATCCGTGTCCTGCCGGATACTATACCGAAGAGCAGGGATCGATAAGTAAGTCAACTTATAACAGTATTAATTCATCATTATTGTGTTTATCACCAGGTGGTGTTAATCCAGCACAAATTTGAAGGAGAGGCAGTTGGCAGTTGGGGCGCTGAAATTTTTTTAGAAATTGGTGACGATTGTAAACTGTATAAAACAATTTCAGAACCTAACTACTAACAGAATGCTCTCTATTCACTTTGTAAGGAAATTTTCACAATAATTGAGGCGCCAGACTTGCTTCAACTAGGTGAGGGAGGGGCAACTGCCCCTAGTTGCCCCCTCCCCTTAGATCCGCCACTGATCACAATGATAATGAATTATTTCTTGCATGAATTTATTTTGCCTGTAAGTATAATGAGATTTTTATAATTAAGTGATGAATAATGTATTTTGTTCCTGAAATCTTTGCTGCCGTATCCTTTATAAAGATCTTTGTGAAATTTTGCCTGCCAGTTAATTATGCATGGGGACGGCATTTAGATCATGTAGGCCTTAATGCTTTTGTTGTTTTTTTAGTATTTTACTTCCTTATTATTTCTTCATGCACTTGAAAATAATAGCTATAGTATTTTGCTTTTATCACCTCATCAAGGCCATGCTTCCATAAGTTTGTCAAATCAAAGCTGCTTCACAAAATTGCTCAGTTGCTTTTATTTCTCTTCGTCCAGAAATGGCAGATTTTTGTTGAAAAACGTGTTGAAGATTCTTTCTAAGCAGAATCAATGAATCATATATTTCACATTTGACCTTTGCTTCTACTTTTTCTTCTTGATTTTATAAATCAGTCCTAATAAAGTTTACTTCTGTTTCAGGCTTCTCGGATTGTAAGATTTGCCCAATTGGATATTATTGTACATCAGGGTCACATACCCCAACCCCATGCCCGCCTGGCACGTACAACCCAGCATTGATGCAAGGATCTTTAGGAGACTGTCGGCAATGTATAGCTGGAATGGCTTGTCCACAATATGGGCTTGGCTGGCCTTCTGAAGTCTGCAGTTCAGGTCACTTCTGTCCGGCAGGTACGCGGCAACCGAACGAAACTGCAAATGCATGCCCTGCGGGAAGCTACACCGACTACCACAATCTCACTGCTTCAAGAGAATGCACTGCATGTCCCATTGGACAGGCGTGCTCTTCTGGTACAGGTGGTCGTCAGAAACCGCCACAGCTGTGCGCCACAGGTGTGTTTTTTTTCACTTTTGCTTGACTTTGTTAAAAATTGATTACGTATCATGATATCATTTTCCTGACCAACTTTTACTATATTATAAGGCAAATCAATGTATAACCATGAACGATAATACCTCCAATTCCATTGTAGGACACTATTGCCCACTTGGCACAAGGCACCCGCAGCAGTATCCTTGCACTGCAGGATCTTGGACCAATCTTACGAATCTGCGAAGGCAGAGTGATTGCTATGAATGTCCCAAAGGCTGGTATTGTCTCGAGGCATCTTCTACTCCAACAGGACTCTGTGTTCCTGGCCACTACTGCCCTCCAGGTATTTAGTGTCTCTCTTTCATTCCAATCCAAAATGGTACCATTCTTAACGTTTTTTCCAACCTGCTCTCCAAGGTAAAGCAGTATAATCAGTTGAGCTGTGAGCTAAGTCTTCCTTGGGCCATAACATATATACATTTATCGTCTAGCTCCTGGACTGAAAGAGTATTCCTTGTCAAAAATGCCTTGCAGCGTCATATTAACATTCCATGTAATTTTGTTTGGTTTGAGAGCTATAAGACCTTTATAATGTTAATGCTTCAACTACTAATTTTTTATAAGGTTGGCAATATTGACCCTATTTTGTTCCGGTTATGATGAAAGCTAGTGCAATACTTACAGAATATTGTTCCTTTTTACTCAGCGTATTACATTTTGCTAATATTGATATCGATTGCTGTATTGAAGGTTGTTATCTATTGCTTTTACCATCCTTGTTTCATTTAATCTTTCCTTGAACAGGAACAAAGTTTGGCAAGGAATTTCCATGTGCTGCTGGCACCTACACAAACAAAACTGGCGTTGTTAGATGGGAACGATGTGAGCAATGCCCCGAGGGTCATTATTGCCCGCAAGGTACTGCCGTTCCTAAGGCTTGTCCAAAAGGAAAGTACTATGATGTATTATCTGGCAAAGCTCTCGGTGATTGTAAAGCTTGTACTGCTGGGTACTATTGCCCAGTTGAGGGTACAGTTACCCCATTGCCATGCACAAAGGGATATTACTCTTCTTCAGGAGCCTTTAATTGTACAATTTGTAAACCAGGCTTTTATTGTGCAAGCAACACAACGAGTTACAATACCATGACAACTACGTTTGTTTGTCCGGCTGGCTTGCACTGTCCGACTGGCCTCGACCGCCAGCCAGACTTGGTGTCACACAAGTGTCCAAAAGGCCAATACTGTGTACGAGGAGACGAAGTATGTGTAGCGAATTCTTATTCTTTACTTTGTTTAATTTTTTGTATTTCTTGTCTCTCTTATCATAGCTAGTCATTGTAGTTCAGTTTAATATTTTAAATTCAACATGATTCAATCCCAACTATGCATATACCAAATATAATACTAGGAAAATAGTAGAAGATGAAGCTCTCTCTATAGATGAACTATTCTTGGAGAGAGCGAGCATTTAATTGATATTATCTGAGATGGTAATGTCTGTTTTGATGACTTAAAACAGTTCAAGACATTCGTATTGTCAGTAATTAACCAAGATAAAAGACACGAGCTTGTTTTCATTTTCACATGTTACTAGTTTTGGTAGCTCACCTCATACTTTATCAAAGATTGTCTCTAACCATGTTTACTTTGCACTTTTCTAGCACGCATTTCCACAAAACTGCCCCAATGGAACCTATAATCAATTCTTCGGTCTCAAGCATGTAAGGGAGTGTCAGACATGCCCGGAGGGCTATTACTGTGAGCCATCTGGTCAGACGAGTCCAACCGACAAGTGTCCACCTGGATTCTATTGCCCTGCTGGAACAGGCTATAAGCACCAGAACCCATGTCCAGTCGGTTTCTACAGAAATGCATCTGCTGCGATCAGTGGCATGGACTGCAGTGTTTGTTTTGCCGGCATGTATTGCAATGCAGAAGGGTTGCCATTCCCCATTACATGCCCACCGGTACGCTATTTATTTGCTATTTATTAAGTCTTTGAAGATAGTGAAAATGATATTATAGGATTTATCTCTACAAATAATAAGTCATTAGGTATTCTAAAAATGTGCTTTGAGCAGCGATTTGTAGCTGTGTATGTTCATTTAATCTAATATGCATGATTCCCGAAAACCTATTCTGGAAGCCTCGTTATGAATCACACTTGAATGTATTTTCTGTAGCCTATTATGATAGGGAAAATCATGACTTTTGCCTTTAAAGTTGAGATTAATAATTGTTTAATATTTATTTTGGATTGTTCAGTAAAACGTCAAAGGTTCTGAACATGTTTCAGAGTAATCTCAAATTTCTAGTTATAGCACTAATTTTCCTGCAATTTCGACAATTATAGGGATCGTTCTGCCCTACTGGTTCATCGTTCCCCCAGCCATGCCCAAGTGGCTACTACAGCAATTCAAGTGGAATAAAACGAAGTGACGACTGCACAGCATGCCCTGCCGGAGAATACTGCGCTGGTGTTGGAAATACCCAGCCAACTGGCCTCTGCGATGCAGGGTTTTATTGTAGAGGCGGTGCATTCACCTCCGTAAGTTAGACACTTCCGTAATTCTTAATCTCAATTGCGGAGTTGTGATGGCCTGGCACATACCGTAGTTGATGCTTACTGTTTGCAAAACAAGTATAGCTCCATAGATTCAAGGCACTTTCCCAGTTCTACGCTTATCAATATCTTTATATGTATATATCAAGCTCTTGAATATCAACTAATGAATATCGTATCACTGTTTGGATATGATGATAATTTTGGTAACACTGCAAGGAGGTTATCGGTGACATGGATTGAGTGAATAGGACTGTAGCAAGAATTGCATGGTTAAGGGATAGCAACAGCAGCTATGTTGTATCTTGAATTCGTATATTGATATTCACAGCTGTCTGATGTATTGCATATTTCACACTACCTTTTGATTTTCTGTTTCGCACATCGTAAGGTAATAACTTGACTCTTGGTAATATCTTGTTTATCTAGGCTCCACCAGAAGGTGTTACAGGTGGCATCTGCCCGAAAGGAGGCTATTGTCCAAAAGGAGCCAAAGTGAGGGCACCGTGTCCTGCAGGAAGGTACAACAACGAAACAGGTGCCAAGCAAGCCGATGACTGTGTTCTTTGTCCTGCCGGGTAAGATTTACACTCCAGTTTTCTTGATAGTTAGAGCTTAGACTCGGACCCTTTCAATACATTTCCTACTGCAGGGGCATCTCAGAAAGAGAGTGGATCTATTACCCCATGCTATCGTTATTTTGTATCATCACCGTCACTATTATTTGCAAGTAACAGAGTTTTGATTGAAGATTTCTTTCTCGGGATAGTCTCTGTGGAAGGAGCTATTAAGTATGTTTTTATGCCCCTTATTCTCGAGTGTTATCTAATTTTTTAAGTGTTAAAAGCAAACAAATTTCAGATAATGTATTTCAGCAGGTTTACATCTCTTGAATAATGTTGAATAATTCTTTTTTGAAAAATGCATGAGATTACATTCTATCTTTTTTCGTAGATCTTATTGTGCAGGTGACACAAATGCCGGCCCAACTGGACCATGCGACCCTGGCTATTACTGTAAGAACGGATCAACTTCTCGAGTGCAATTCGCATCACCAAAGGGTCACTACGCCCTTAAAGGATCTGCAGCTCCGACACCCTGCCCTGTGGGCACCTACCAGGAGTCCGATCGTGCTTTCAAATGCAACCCATGTATTGAAACTGCTTATTGTGATGTGGAAGGGCTGAGCACACCAAAGACCTGCCCGCGCGGCTACTACTGCCCAACAAGCAGTATAAAGCCTTCAACCTGTCCTAGAGGTACTTATAACCCTAATGAAGGACGAGCAAATGTAACCGAATGTATACAGTGCACGCCAGGCTATTACTGCGGTGCAGAAGGGCTAAATTTCACGTCTGGAAAATGCTACGAAGGGTATTACTGCGTTATTGGGTCACCAGTTCCGAATCCGGTAGGTCTCTTCCGCCAGTTCCAATAAATTTGTTTTTAAATCGTAGAGAAATGTTGCCTGTGCCTAAATTGCGAATAGAATGCAGAGAAATGTGTAATAATTTATAACTTTTAAAGTTAGACGTTACTTTTTACAATTTAATAATGTCTCCTTTCCTTATTTTAGGGTAACGCTACGAACGGTAACATTAACGGCACACAAGTATTTGGCGGTGTATGTCCCCCTGGTCATTACTGTACCATTGGTACGATCAGGGCTACCGACTACCAGTGTCCAAACGGAACCTACAACCCTTATTACGGGGGTAAATCAAGCAGTATTTGTCAGCAGTGCGATGGTGGCAAGGTTTGCAATGGAAAAGGCCTTGCGCAGCCTACAGACCTATGCGCTCCAGGTTTTTACTGTATTGGTGGTGCAAGCACACCTACACCGATGGATGGAGTGACTGGAAATATTTGCCCAACAGGGAATTACTGCCCGGGAAATACGTCCTATTATTCACCTTGTCTACCAGGAACTTATAGGTCAGTGGTGCCTCCTCTCTTTCTCAAATTTCACTACCTGCTTTTTATATTTTTTGTAGCAACAATTGCACACTTGTATACCTTTTAAAGTACAAATATTCCACGGAGTCTGTTCTTAGCACTACCAAATTGCAGTTATACAAAATTATAGCCTTTTGATACTTGCCTCCTACATGGAGCTCAAACTTATTCACTTGCATATTTTAATTTAGAGGTTTGTCAAGTTTTATGTTACTTTGTTTAGTCATATACCTTTTTTACGAGTTGCGAGCAGTCGTAATATGTGGAAACGAAATTTTAAATTTCTTTATTCTAGCAATGTAACTGGCTTGTCGAAATGTCTTACCTGTCCAGAACGGTTCTTCTGTCGAAACCGCATTACTCCCGAAAGATGTCCAGCTGGTAGCTACTGCCCTGCAGGCTCCGGCGAAAGTGACATCAAGCCATGCCCACCTGGCACATGGAATCAATTCGTTAGTACCTTCAAATTGTTTGATAAATTTTTCTTCTTTTACTGACCTTCAAGTAAAGCGCTATTTCATAGCATTATCTCTGAATTTAGAGATACGTAGTAAAATGATAACTTAAATTTCTTACTTCTCTGATTTGTTTCATCATCAGAAAATAGGCCTGACAGAGTTGTACTTAATTAGATGAAAGGATGAAATGTATGCATTTATTCTCGTGTATTAAAATTCTTGCGAGTGAGATATTTTATAGATTCTACACTGTCTTTTCATTGTCCTGAGATTAACATATCTGAAGCACTATCTTTCTTACCATTGTTCTTTCCTTCTTGTGCTCCAAACAGGAGTAGGTCATATCGGCTTGCTTTCCATATAATTCCATCTGCATCTGTTCTCTACACTTTCCCACCTTTTTATAATAGGTTTGCTTACTGGCAGTGATTCTTACTGGTTCTCTATTGGTTTACATATTTATTTTGACCAACCAAATTCAAGACTAACCTCGCCCTTCAATTGCTATTAGATCCAGGCGTTGTTATTTTTTGTGGCTATTAATCTAGCTTGAGCAATTATCTGTAGTCCTTAATGACGAATATTGTTAAGTAGTAAATTATAATTGTAACAATAGGTTAAATATCGTCAGTTAGCTGTTGAGATACAGAAAGTTAAATGGAAAATAACTGAGTTAACTGGTATTTTCAGGGTGGTCTTGCTGCGAAAAATGAGTGCTCTTCTTGCCCACCAAAGAAGTATTGCGAGAGATACGGTGTAACAGAATTTTCCTCTGGCAACGGAAGTGGCCTATGCGATGCAGGATTTTACTGTCAAACTGGAGTTAGTGTAAAGCGGCCAACACCACCTTTGGCAACTGGTATAGGCGGTCTTTGCCCACAGGGGGCGTACTGCCCAATTGGCACTGATGTGCCCGTGCCTTGCCCGCGTGGCAGATACAACAATAGATTGCAGTTGACCAACTGGACGGAATGTGAGCTGTGTGACTATGGGAAGTATTGCGGAGAACAGGGCCTGAATGCCACGTCAGGTGAGGGTCAACCCCGCAATGTATTTATCGATTCATGAGTTGTTCAGCTAATAAAGTTTTTGAATGAGGCGTTGCTTCCGCTTGTATCAAATTAAAATCTCTCCTGTTTTTGATACCATCGTGTATCGTGATTCTACCTTTCTTCTGTTTTGTCTATCAAACTAATGGTAAATTAATGGTAAAGATGCGGCTGATTCATTTTTCAAGCACAAATCCATTCTCAATTTTTAATGGTTTCTATTTGTTTGATATCTTTATTTTAAGAGACAATTTCTCTTTCTTGTGAAAGTTTATGTTTATAAAAGCTGCAATAGTTTTTCCAATACTTCAGTTCTACTTGCAATGACAGTTTGATTGAGGGCCTAACATAAAATTCCTTCGCTTTACTCAGGACCATGTAGCCCTGGCTTCTATTGCTTACGTGGAGCCCAGTCTCCTAATAATCCCAGCAAAGATTCTACTGGTGGTCCTTGTCCAAAGGCACACTACTGTCCTGAAGGCACTGGATTTCCTCTCGGTTGTCCAAGTGGTACGTACATGCCAGTTGAAGGCCATGCAAGTTGCTTTCAGTGTTTGAAAGGCTACTACTGTCCCGCTAATGTATCGGATTTCATGCCATACCCATGCCCGTTGGGACACTACTGTCCAAATGGTACTAGATACTCAACAGAATTTCCATGCCCAAAAGGACACTTCAGGAACCAAACCAAGGGAGAAAGCATTTCAGATTGCATACCTTGTCTACCTGGACAGTATTGTCAAGGAACAGGTCTAGATAAGCCCAGCGGCCCTTGCGATCCAGGATACTTCTGCGTAAGGATGGCGTACTCAAAGACACCACGTGACTACGATAACTTCACTTCCGGTGACTGCCTATGTCCTACCAATTCAACAGGTAAGAAAGTTTTCGAAAAGTATTAATCATACCTTTTCCAGAAAATTAAGGGATGTAGCACAAGGTTGTTTAAAAATAATATAAAATCCCATTCAATTAGCATATAGAGTTATATGAAATGACATAGTTGCATGGAACGCCCAGTAGCAAATTTATTGGGATTTCTCTTCAACCCTCTTGTTTCTTTTAAATAGCAATACGTGCTAACTCTATCAAATCTTGCTCAGAAGTTTTTATACCGTTGAATTGCGAACGAAATTTGATCAGTATAAAATGTTTCCACTTTTTGTAGAGCAAATATTTATTTACTGATTCTGTCATAGGTGGTGAGTGCCAGCCGGGTTTCTATTGTCCACTTGGTTCTTCACAGCCAATTCTTTGCCAGGGTGGGCATTATTGCGAGGGCAAACGGAACTTCAATTATACCGGTCCATGTGATCCTGGCTACTACTGTTCAAATGGTTCATGGACGCCTAAACCGACTGATGGAAAAGTAGGGAACAGATGTCCGCCTGGGCACTATTGTCCACTTAGAACGCAAATACCGGTTCCATGTCCTGCCGGAACGTACTCTAACGCCACAGGTGATTATCATCAATCTTGTGTCTCATTAGCAGTTTGTTTCATATGATGTTTTGTCTTTTTACCAAATTTAACAGCTTGTTAATCATAATCTTACTGCTATAAGTGATGTTGGATGTTCTACGAGGAGAACGCCATTCAGTTATTACAATGTTGCTTGCTTTAGTACCACAAGCGTTGCTGAAGTCGGCTCTTAGCTTAGAGTACGTGATTCGTCTCTGAAAGTATTAATAAGGAAATCTAACAGGCTGTTTCTGAAATCCTGGCAATAGAGCATAGACTCTCTTCATTGCCAGTGTGGTGTTTTCTTGAATCTTGAAGACCATTATAACACCACTTGTTTTTACAAGTCTATTTTAGGTCTCAGAATCGTGATGAAGAGGAGATTTCATTTTGCTTAGGGGAGACCATTTATCTAAAGCATTTGTTGAAGATACTAGTTACAACATTTACTTCTAGTAATTTATAATGGTGCATTTCATGTTATAGGAAACAGCATGGTATCTCAGTGTCTCCAATGCACGAATGGCTCATATTGTCAAGGAACTGGCAACATCAAGCCAACAGGCCTCTGTGATGCAGGCTACTACTGCCCAGCAGGCCAAAGCAGCAAAACAGCAATATCATGCACTGTCGGACACTACTGTCCCACTGGATCACCCTCTCCTGTGCTCTGTGAATCGGGTACTTGGCAAGATGAAACTCAAAAATCCCTCTGTAAAGTTTGTCCCGAGGGTTACTTTTGCGATCGCAATAATGGCCCAATCACCAATTATGCCTTACACCCATGTCCCAATGGCTTTTACTGTCCCAATGGAACAAGATTTGCTACAGAGTACGGCTGCCCCAATGGCACCTACGGAAATGGAACAACACTTGATAGTGCAAGTCAGTGTCTATCTTGTCCACCCGGAAGATTCTGTCTAGGTGAGTACTCGTTCTTTAATCTGTTTTTCACCCGTACGTGACCATGACTTCCTTTGTAGTATATACGTGGGCAACTCATTATGCTGCGATGAAATTATGGGATCAAGATAAGAATCGATTTTTTCTTGCATAAGCATTTTTAAGGTGTTATATGCTTAAAGTGATATACTATGTGATATAATTTTTTCATGATTTGTCTAACCGCTTCTACTTAGGTTTTTGTGATATGAATACCAGTTTGTAATATGAAAAGTTTTTCTTTAGGATCATCGAGTAATTACACCGGTAGCTGCAACAGTGGATTCCACTGCATAGCTGGAGCATCAACACCCACCCCTACTGACATGGTAACAGGTAGATCGTGTCCCGTGGGACACTACTGCCTAACAGGGACACCAAGTCCTACGCCCTGCCCTGCTGGCACTTTCAAAAATACCACTGGTGCGAAATCGCTATCAGACTGCATTGACTGTACCCCAGGTATGTATTGCCTGACTCAGGGGCTCAGCTACCCAACAGGCTTTTGCAGTGCTGGTTTTTACTGTATTCGAAAAGCGCAATACCCATCTCCAACGGATGGTGTAACCGGGCGAAACTGCACACCAGGACACTACTGCCCAGTGGGATCACCGGCACCAAAACCATGCGAAGTGAGTACTGTTTGAGTGCCATTACGTTTTCAAAGGTTTTAGTTTGTTAATCTCGCGCCTTTCGGTATTTGCTACATTTGACTTTGATGAAGACTTGGATTATCGAGTACCTTTTGTTTGCTTTCTTGTAGGACGGTACTTATATGGCAGACACGACAGCAACAAAATGTCATGTTTGTCCAGCAGGAAGTTACTGCGTTGGAGATCATCTAGGTCCTTCCCCATGCCCTGCCGGGTTCTACTGCCCGAATGGAACCGGGTACAATTGGCAGGCATGCCCATCCGGTACCTTCAGTAACACACCCGGACTTTCCATTGTTTCAGGTAAGAACCCTTTGTTCTTTTTATCTTTGCTTTGGCTTCTTTTTTTCTCGAGTTTGCTCAAAAATGGCTTTTCTGACCCCAAAGGTAAAAACCTTCAAATAATGCTGGTATTCTTTTTTTGACTGCAAGAACTGTTCCCCTTGAGTTACAAGTTAGACTATGCGCCTCAGAAATCTACTTTTCTGTTGTTTTTGATCTTAGAAAATTCTAGGTAAGATACAAGAAAACAAAGCCATGTGCTCGGACCTAATCTTTAAAACTGAAACTTCTCTATGTTTACCCACGTTTTGATACTTTGACTAAGCCATGTTTTATGTACTCTGGGTACCACGGCCTCAGAAAGTCAATTTTGAGAACGGGGAAAAGGAATTGTGACGTAGAATGAAAAAAGGAAAGGAGAGGATAGGGTACCAAAGCCTCGTCTCTCCCTTCCTTTCCCATTCTCCTTTGACTTTCTGAGGCTCTGGTTCCCTGAGTAGGTTTTTAGCCGCCAGTTTCCTTGCTATTATTCCAGAAATTTCTGTGATAAATCCCGTGTTCAATTCTGTGATAAATTCACTGTTATATTCTGTGATTTGTTTAGAATGTAGACAATGCTCTGGTGGAAATTACTGTGCCTATCCCAATGCCACAACTGAAACTGGACCCTGTGATGCTGGATATTATTGTCGTCTTGGCTCCAATCAGCCAAAGCCAGAATCCGGTCATACTGGGGATGCGGGTCCATGTCCGGCCGGAAGATACTGTCCACAAAATACCACCAATCCGTTACTTTGTCCAAAAGGAAGATTTTCAAATAGCACTCATTTAAAAACTGCCACTGACTGTGATCTTTGCACGCCTGGACACTATTGTGGTGTTGATGGACTAGCAAATGTAAGCGGACAGTGTGACCCTGGATTTTATTGTTTACACGGCTCACAAGTGCCCAACCCCAGCACTGTAACTGTATCTGGTGGGCCTTGCCCAATCGGACACTACTGCCTGCAAGGAACGGCGTATCCACTTGGATGCAAAGCAGGGACATATAACAACCAGACCGGTCAGAGTTCTTGCCAACTATGTTGCTCAGGATACTACTGCCCAGAAAATTCAACAAGCTGTTCGTATGAATGCCCGACAGGTCATTACTGCCCTCTTGGTACGAAACATCTTTATGAATATCCATGTCCGGCCGGAACTTACAACAGTTTTACTAAAAAGATGCAGCTTGCTGATTGTGCCTATTGTGATGCTGGCAAGTATTGTCCTACGTCCGGCCTTACTTCATCATTTGCTGATTGTGCTGCGGGATGGTATTGTAGACGGGGGGCCTCTTCTGCGAGACCTATTGATGTTGGAAATCTTACATGCTCTGGTAATGCAACCCAAAACGCATCTACTTGCTTCTGTCCAAACTCAACAACTGGAGGTCAATGCGTGCCTGGAAGTTTCTGTCCAAAGGGATCTAATGAGCCTAGTGCATGCTCGCCAGGTAAACTTTTTTTGCAATGGTTTTATTGTGATGTTCGTGTTATTATTACAAGAGATTTAGAATTGATAACACCCAAGAATCAAGTATACAAAATAGTTGTCGTACCTCAAACATATAATATTGTTATTTTTCGTTATCAGAGTGGTAAAATATTGGCCTTGTGAAAAGATGTAAACTGGGTGTTGGATTTCATGGCCCAAAGCAAATTCGTTTACATAGAATTTAACTTTATCGGTGTCACGAAAGAGCTTTTTCAAACCTTTTTTGAGCTTTTTGAAAAGTTCTAGTTTCAAAAGGAAGTCTTTTTTCATTTTTTAGGCTCATATTGCGATGCATACGGCTTGGCAAATGTTTCTGGTCCATGTGATGCAGGATACTTTTGCCAGTCTGGAGCAGCCAGTAAAGCGCCTACGGACGGTGTTACCGGAAATATATGTCCTGTTGGCCGCTATTGCCTTGTTGGAACCTCCGTGCCAGACCTTTGCCCGCCTGGTACTTTCTCTAACCGTACTGGAAACAAGGCGCTTGGGGACTGTACACAATGTGAGCCAGGCCAGTACTGTGATGGCTGGGGTCTAGACAAGCCATCTGGACCATGCGATGCTGGGTATTACTGCCCTGGTGGACAAAACAAAAGCGATCCTGTAGAGTATAGGTAAACTTTTTGTTGAACTTCTTTTGTGTTGTGAATGCTAGTTTAATTTGGAATGTCGTCTGTTTCGAAAATTTTGTGAAGAACTTGTGTAACGGTTAAGGGAGACATTGAGGTATTTGCTGCTGAATTGCAGGCAATGATATGTATTGGGAGTGTGATGTAAAGCTCTTGGAAGGGAAGAAAAGGAAGTATCCCTGGGTATAAAGATTTGAATTTTCATTATCCAGAGTATGAGTTGAATAAATGCTTCTGGGCCGAGGATTCATTAGTCGCTTTCGCATCAAAAAATTGCAGCCATAACGAAAACCTTTCGTATCGTAATAACATGTCATGCATTGATTTAGAATATAAAAATGGGAAATCGAAGGAGCAAAAGCGATCATAAAAGTGCTTTTATGATTGCAGGTGTACACCAGGACATTTATGTCCGAATGGAAGCAAAGCCCAACTGCCTTGCGTATCTGGAACGTACCAAAATGAGTTTGGGAAGGCCAGTTGTAAAGAATGCCCGGCGCGGTATTATTGTGACGGTACCATGTTGAATGCCAGTCAATGTAGCTACGGAGTCCAGCATCCGGTTGCGTGTCCACGTGGCTATTTCTGTCCGAATGGAACCAAAACTGGAACGCAGTTTGGATGTCCAAACGGTCAGTTTCTTCCAGCTATATCCCTTAATTGTCTGTTCAGTAATATTGATATAAAATTGCCCGCTTATGCAAAAAAGACTATTTGAAGTCACAGTTCTTCGGGCTATTTGTAGTGTTTTCTGATTTATGTATGAGCTATGACCGCACTTAAATGTATGCAATTTGTGTGACATCTTCGAATAGCTAGATTTTCAATCTAATTTCACTAGCGAATTCAGTTCATTTCAATTTCATTTTTGCACCCTTTTAGGAACATACGGTGCTGCGACCCATCTGAGCAGCGCTTTAGAATGCACCCAGTGCCCAAGTGGCAGATACTGTGAGCGTGAAGGCCTTGACACGTGGACTGGTAACTGTGAAGCAGGGTACTATTGCGTCGGAGGAGCCAAAGTCAAAGCACCAAATGACGGATCCACTGGATATATTTGCCCGACTGGTATGTTCTTTCAACAGTATTAAACAATTTGTTATAGCGAAGATTTCTTTATCTTTAATGTATTATTTGCCTGTGTTTTTCAGATGATATTTTGACATAGAGTTGTAAAAATGCATATAGGAGCAGACCTTTACCTTTATTTTTTGCCCAAAGTTTTAGGACAATATGGACACACCATGTATCCCAGCTTATACCACATATATGCCGCACTATTTCACCAGTCAGCTTTCTTCGTATTTTACAGTCGTTAAAGAATTAATATTAAGGCAGTGCAAAAAAGGTCGATATCAAATTAATAACCTGTTTATTTTTTGGTTTTTGGTTTTGCCCATATAAATTCATTTTTTCTTAAAGATGATAAACGTGAGTTTCGTAAATTGTACCAATTTTAATCAGCTTTTTTTGATCAGATAAGCAGGATGCCAGGCTGTTGATTTTGGTTTATGGCTGCACTTTAGTCCTAGCTACCCAGTTAATGATGACAAGTCTTTGATAAACCTTGATATTTTCTTTTTTGAAACATGAAACCATTTTTTCAGGCCACTTCTGCCCATCTGGCACAAACGCAACAGTTCCTTGTCCTGCTGGGACATATAGCCCATCGCTCGGTCTTGGCAACGTCGGACAGTGCCTTGGGTGTACTGCTGGAAGGTATTGTGGTGGGCTAGGCCTCAACCAAACATCTGGAAATTGCAGTGCTGGCTATTACTGTTCTTCAAATGCATCGCAGCCTAATCCAACTGGGGGTGCCACAGGTATGAGCTCCTTTTCCTTGATTTATTTGCATTTTTAATAGAAAACCGAATTTTCAAACATGATCAAGATGAATTTTTAGCTGGCTTCTAAAGGAAGCTGTAAGTAAAATGAAAACTTCCTACACTTCCATTATTCTTAGTGCTTAATAGCTCCTAATTGCAATTCAAATAAAGCTCCATAAATACATCGCACAGTATGATCTTTAGTTTATTGTGAAAAAAACCCTATGTTTCCAGATTAAAGATTTTATACATAGTATAGTATGGCTTCTAAGCCAAACTGTGACACCTTGTGACACCCTTTAAGATTTCCGTTTGCAATGCTCCATTCCTTTCACAATTACAAGACCTTGTTGACGAAATGATTAAACGCTAAATCTTCTCATAGGCAACGTCTGTCCTGTGGGTTCCTATTGTCCATCTGGCACTGGCGTACCAAAACCATGCTCACCTGGAATGTACATGAATCATACTCAAGCAAGCACATGCTACGTTTGTCCGCAAAGGTATTATTGCATCAACAGAGTCAACCCGGAGGCCTGTCGACCAGGTACAAATTAACTTGTTATTCCCTGTAGATGAAAAACAAACATTGAAGTTTTTCAGAATTCAGTTATCATAGAGCCTTATTCCAATGCTACTGAGGTTTAATATATCTGAATTATAAAGCTGTTATTATAAGCGTTCAAAACAGAATTACAGTAGCTTTGTTCCCACTTTCAACCAAGTATTGCTATTCTTTTGTTTATTGCCGTTAAAGTTCTTTTTAAAGTCGTCTGACTTTGGAAAACTGGAGTTTTATAGCCTTTTCACCCTTTTTTAACAGCAGATAAAATCTAACAAGACTGATTTAGTATTAAATTTGAAATACTTTTTCTACTAGGGTTTTACTGTCCGGTCGGTACTGGATACGTTATGCAACCATGCCCAACCGGAACATATAGCCCGAGCACACTGCTTGGTTTTGAATCCGAATGCCTGTCTTGTAATGCTGGTCAGTACTGTGGAAGCTTAAACCTTACCAACCCAAGTGGGCCATGCTCTGCCGGATATTACTGCAAAAATGGATCTGATACCTCTACTCCGTCTGGCGGACATAAAGGATTCGCTGGTATTTGCCCGCTTGGAAGCTACTGTCCGTCTGGAAACTCTAGCGCGCCGATAGCTTGTCCGTTGGGAACTTTTAACAATGGAACGCACGGGAAGAGCTTAGCTGACTGTCGATTGTGTCTCAAGGGATATTACTGTGATAAGGAAGGGTTATCTTGGCCTACGGGTCAATGCCAGCCTGGATACTATTGCAGTGGAGGTGCGATTGTTTCAAACCCGCCTACTGTGACCTCAACTGGGGGCCCTTGCCCTGCAGGAACTTTCTGCGAAACTGGTTCTTCTGCACCAACAAACTGTTCATCTGGCACATATAACAGCCTTTCAAAACAGTCATCGTGTGTAGAATGCCCTCCCGGTCACCACTGTGTCAATGGGTCAACAATTTACACCGAATGTCCTAAAGGATATTACTGCCCCAATGGGTAAGTGTACTAATTGTTTCAGTCCAAAACTGATTAAAGTAATGTTTTAAACATGGTGACATGCTAGAATAAGCGAGAATGATCCCTTGTCTTTAATATTAGTAAGTTCTAACGATTATGACTCCAGTTGTGATTAAAGTAGATTTCCAATATTCATACGCAGTGAGCGAATAGTTGAAAGAGCTACCCATTTTAGAAAGTCTTTTACCTGTACATCCTTTGATAATGATCTAAGAAACTATCGAAAAGGTCCAAAATATTGCATCTATCGTTGTTGTTGTTGTTTATCACCTTGCTTGTAGCTAATTTCTTCAAAACCCTTTTGCTTACGGGCCAAATCGCTTCAAAGTAGTTTGGTATGTGAATAACTGAAATTTCATACAAATGAAATATTCATATATCGTTCTCATTTCAGAACTAAGTTTAGTACCCAGTTCCCTTGTCCTATGGGTACGTTCAAAAACTACACGAAAGGTTCATCTATCGACGACTGTAAGAGTTGCACCCCCGGAATGTATTGCGAAATTGTAGGGCTGGATGTACCAACCGGTTTGTGTCAAGGGGGATGGTATTGTTCTGGTGGAGCGATTTCAAAGACACCAACATTGAATGGCACAGGTTTGCATGATTTGTGTCTTATGGGGACGTCTTCGTAATCGATTGTGTGGAAAATATGTATATAAATTTTCAATTTGAGAAAAATAGTTTAAGGTCGAAGTCATTAAGTGTTAAATGTCATGAAATTTGTGTTAAAAAGTCACTTATCATTTATTGATTCGAAAAAGAATTTGGTAATATGATACAAAACTCCAAAGGTATATCAAGATAGAATGTTGACCAAGATAGTGTTTCTCGGTGTAGGAAGTCAGTTACGTTTTGCTATTAGATCTAAATCAATGTTAATTTTCTGTACTTTTTTAGTCTTCTTCTTGTCTAATTGACTACAAATAAATTAATCGATTTTTCAGCAGTCAGAAGCTGCCTCTGTGTAAAAGCTTTGATGTGTTTTCAAAGCTTTCTGCTCTCGCCAAGGTTGTTGAAAGCTTTTGCCTTATGATTTTTGTAAGTAGGTCTGAGCTAATTTTTAGAAAATCTTTGAATAAAGCAAGGTATTGCTTTCAAACTGATGACGTCATTTATTTTACAGGTGGTATGTGTAAAGCTGGCACGTTCTGCCCCCCTGGTTCTGATGCCCCAACCTCGTGCACACCTGGCTATTACTGCTCCGAAGATGCATTAAGCAGCACTAAAGGTCTTTGTGCTCCTGGATATTATTGCAACGGTAGCACTATTGATGAAAGACCAGTGAACAAGTCGTATGGAGACATTTGTCCCCCTGGTCATTTCTGTGAGCTTGGCAGCAACGCACCAAATGCATGCAGGCCTGGTGAATTTGCAAGGGGGTATGGAAATGATTATCGCAACGCCTGTATTCCATGTAAGTATTATAATATCCTGTTGCTATTTAGAACCTGTCTAAATTAATCGCGAATGTGAATAAGTTAACTTATCTTTCTTTCAGTTATAAATAGTAGATTGTTGCTAGATGCTATTCACCTGCCATTATTCCATTTGCCGGCTGATTAGAAACATCTCTTTACCCCTCTGTTCATCATAACGTAGTTGTTGATTAGACACTTAGGAGTAATTGTTTTTATTATTTATCAAGCAGAGCTTTTTTACTGAGCTTTGTTCCTTCTTTTGCAGGTCTGCAAGGCCAGTACTGTGATCGATCTGGTCTAGCTGAACCAGCTGGTAACTGCTCGGTAGGCTATTACTGTCCATCTGGTGAAATATACCCATCTCCCTCTGACAAGATGTGTCAGCCCGGTCACTACTGCCCGCTTGCTAGCTACAAACACAATGTCTGCCCACCTGGTACTTACCAACCGTACGCCGGTCGCGGCTTCTGTTTGGATTGCAGTAATGGCTACTATTGTGATCCAGTTGAGGCCCAAGGTAAGAGAGACATCTCATTGTCTATTTAACAGTAGCCGTAACAGAAGTCAAAGCCTAAAGCTTCCATGCTTACAAGAGACTATACATCCTCCACTCCTGCGTGGCTCTGCGTATGATTTTATTCGTTAAGCTATACATAATGTACTTTATCAGAGACCTTAAGGATATTTTTTATCAGAAAAAGCGTTCAGAATCACTAAGCAGTTTGCTACTGACCGCCATCAGTAAACAATCGTCATAAAGACGTTTTATCTGGTACTGGATACGTAAAACTGGTATTACTTTTACCAAATGACCTCATCACAAAATAGATGATAGAAGTAGATCTCAAATGTGGAAGTGAAGAGCATCATTGCTGGCTCACTATCTGAATTACTTGCTTTAATGTTTTGCTTTCTTCAATGCTCGCTTTATATACTTGCGAATCAACACAATCCATTAGATTTGCGCGGCAGGTTGCCCATTTTTGTTTATTTTGTACAAATTTGTTGTGTAGTACCTTGCAGTACTTCTTTTGCTTTTGCATTCAAAATGAATCAGTTTTAAATTCCAGACATATAAGTGAGCGATCTGTTGTTATTAGCAGGAAATGAATTGCTTTTTTGTATATGACAGGTTTCAATGCAAGTGGGTCGAATTCTAGCAGTCATGGAGTTGTTACGCCTGGAATATGTCCCATCGGATATTACTGCCCAAATAAAACAGTGACATACAAGGACTTTCCATGCAGGAAAGGATACTTTGGAAACGCGACGAAACTTTCGAGTCATGATGAGTGTCATCCTTGCACGCCTGGCTACTACTGCGATCGCGATGCAATGACAGAACCAGCGGCAAAATGTCACGTCGGATATTACTGTTCAGAGAAAGCAATCACACCCCAGCCTACAACACTTGCTCAGGGTGGCGGGGAGTGCCCTCAAGGCTTCTATTGCGAGTCTGGGTATTTCCAACCCCTACCCTGTCCAAAGGGCACATACGGAGACAGGATAAAGCTAGGCAACATAACGCAATGCACAGATTGCCCAGGTGGAATGTACTGCGCCCAAGATGGTCTTCCTGCACCAAATGGTAGCTGTATTGCTGGACATTATTGTTCAGGTGGTGCTATTGTCAGTAACCCTACTGTCCAGGCCTACGGTGGAATTTGCCCCAAAGGACATTATTGTCCAATTCAAACCACAACGCCATTTTCTTGCCCACCAGGTACATACAACAATCAAACTGGAGCCACAAGGCCTCAAGACTGTCAACCTTGCCCGGCGCGTCAATATTGCGCAGGGTATGGTAACGAAGCTCCTGACGGTCTGTGCGATGCTGGCTACTTCTGTACAAGAGGTGCCTACTCTCCACGACCAATACTACATACCAATTTAACCTATAACAACTCGGACCAATTCACCTGCCCTCTGTACTCTGTAAATCAAACCGGAGATATGTGCCCAGCAGGATACTACTGTCCGAAAGGATCTGATGTGCCAACGATTTGCGATCGTGGAAAATACTGCGATGTAAAAGGCTTGCCTGCTCCAACTGGCAACTGCACTGCTGGACAGTACTGCGAGCCAGGCTCGGTATCACCAGCACCCAAAAATTGCAAGGCCGGGTATTACTGTCCTAAAGGAGCGCCTTTCGAGATTCCATGCCCTATTGGAACATTCTCTGGTGTACCAGGAGCTTCTCAGCTGAGCCAATGTAGTAACTGTACTGCTGGTTATTATTGTCCACAAACGGGTATGACTGCGGCAGTCTTTGAGTGTCTACAAGGCTATTATTGCCCATCTGGCTCTTCGAAGAATGACAGCGTTGAATGTCCCCGTGGATCGTACTGCCCAACTGGCAGCGGATCACCCATCAAATGCCCTGCAGGTTTGTTTATATCGATCCAAACTTTTGACCTAAAAACAATGAATTACTCCCAGTTTGTTGCTATATACAAATTTAGTAAAAACAAGCTCTCACTTTTTTGAAGCGTTTCTGTTAGGTTCCAGAAATGATGTAACAACAAGCAAGAAATCAGCTCACTTTTGATGTACTTCTTTCGTAAATGCGAGGGTATCATGCATCAGAATACCCGTCTTTGCAATACTGTTCTTTTTTTATTCCAATTGTTTAAAATTTGGTGCCTGAAATCATATTCTCTCGAAACAGTAGTGCTCCATTCCCTATCATCCAACACGTTTCAATTTCTCTACGTTCTGAGCTATCCCTTTGCTTTCACTCCATGTTAATTATATGATACATACTGTTATTCTGTGCGTACTAAGATGTCGAGCCCCCTAATTTTAATTGATCAACTAAGCCATCCTTGAACCAGGCCGCCGTCAAGAGTGACTTGGAAGTTTGTTTTTACAGATGTCTAAATTTTGTTTTCCTTTTCAGGCAAGTACCAAGATGTGAAAGGAAGCTACCAGTGCAAGACCTGTCGACCCGGATTTTATTGTGACCCGACACCCTTACCACCAGCGCAAGGTGTCATAACTCCGGTCAATTGCACAAAAGGCTATTATTGTCCATCTAATACGTCATCAGCAAGGCAGTTCCCATGCCCCTCCGGAAGGTACAGCAATGCAAGCGGTCTGCAATCAGAGAATCAATGTCAGCCGTGCCCAGGGGGCTTCTATTGCTCAGGAATTGGGAATACAGCACCCACAAACCCATGTGCTGCTGGTGAGTCGCGATGGTTTTGTTTCTTTTCTCATCTAAGCTTGGTTCCCACTAAAACACAAATGCAACTGTTTATGCGATCAGTTTAATTTAGAAAAATCTGACTCTATAAATTTTATTTTTATGTAATGTATAAAAATAAACGCGAAATCGAATAACTAAGGCAATGATCTGAATATCGAATTCGATTTTTCATATTATATCAAATGCTTTGAAAATTACATCACAATTCCAAGTTACGCATTCTGGACAAATTTGATCATGCTTGACCAAAATTCAAATAAATCGAAAAAGTAATTGATTTGTCTGAATTTGGAGCTATTCTACAGGCAATGTTAGTGGTCGAGTCTCCGCTTTCACAGCTGCGAACAAGTGTGGATCTCTACCAAATAATTGCAGCTGTGTCATGAATACAAATGCAACCCTTCGAAAAAATTTTGATTATCGCAGCTGCAGGAGGATTAATGTATTTACCATTATATGGTAGTTCACATGCTTTCTGCTCTTAGATCTTTGTTGGTAGCAATTAAAGTTTATGTAAACCTGGTTATTATAATACTTGTATTGTGTACCTATATTTGAAATGTATCAGGGACCTGACGGAACATCTGCTTGTTCCTTTTAGGCTCTTACTGCACGTCAAGAGCAATTACTCCCTCGCCGAGGGACAATGTCACCGGAAACATCTGCAACCTTGGACATTACTGTCCGGAGCAAAGTGTGTCGGGAGTGCAATGTCCAATTGGTAAGCCTCTATCCTGTAGTAAGACTATCGACCGCTTTTCATTTTACGTTTTTCACTTTTTATAGCCAAGCTGCAGCTAGTGTCATGTTGAAATTTTAGTCAATTTTATTTTGTTTTCTCTCTAATTTCCTTTCTAGATCTTTGTCCAAATTTTCAAGATACACATTAAGTTAAATCCTGAAATCATAAAACAAAGTTCTTCTCTGTAATGTTTCTTTGTAAATACTTTTGCACATGAACGTTTGAACCGGAGTCACAGGAGCCGCTAACTTTCAGAGATAGTGGTAAAGTGCATATTTGCAGCTCACAGAGGAACTTCATGTGCCTACCATGCCCCCTCCCATGGTTCCCACGCTAATGCTTTTGTAAAGCATTGACAAAGTAGCTCAAGGTATTTTTGCATTTCTCAAGTACTAGTATCGAAGCAAGATGTACAAATTGGGTCAATTGAATTTCGTATGATGTATTTTCACTTTAACCAAAGACTTCTAAACTTAATCATTCAATTTTTCTACTCCCCAAGGTACATTTGGAAACGTGACAGGTCTTCAAAATGCCTCTGGTTGCACTCCTTGTGTGGCTGGATGGTACTGCCCCAGCAAAGGACTGTCTCTTCCATTCCAAAAATGCACTGCTGGTTACTGGTGCATAAGTGGCTCCATCGAACCTGCACCAACTGGGAAATCATATGGTGTTGTTTGTACAAGCGGTAGTTACTGTCCGACAGGTACGCCCGCTCCTGTTGCATGCCCAGAGGGATTTTATTCCAACCAGACTGGAAAGACAAAGCTGAATGACTGCATCGGTATGTTGGCCTAATAGTTTTGGAAGTATAAAAGCAGAACAAACCTTCTGCTAGTCCCACTTCTAATCCCAGTTCTAATCCCACTTCTATTCCCACTTCTAATCCCACTTCTATTCCCACTTCTATTCCCACTCATATTTCCACTTTTTGTCATATTCCAAGTTCCACGCCTCAGAATTGTCTTACTTTTAATCGGCTTGCTTTTGAAAACTTTTGCAAGTTGATATAAATTTCATTGGAAGCTTGACATTTCGACAGGTTGTGATGCGGGCTACTACTGCAGTGGAACAGGGAAAACCTCAACGGCAAACCAATGTAACGCTGGCTATTACTGCGTACGAAATGCCACGATTCCAAATCCAACAGACGGAGTAACTGGTGACATCTGTCCAACTGGGACATATTGTCCTTTGGGTGCACATGTGCCTCTGTTTTGTGAAAATGGAACTTACGCAAATGTAACAGGTAAGGCGATAATATCAAGAATTTATAGTTTTCTGTTTGTTGCTTTAGCTGTTCAAAGGAATTTAAAAATGCAAAAAGATATAACATAGAAGAACATCCAATTGCACTTGGAGGGAGCTGTATCTTGGCCTAATCCTCCCTGCCAAGTACATATTTTGAAATGGAATTTATTTCTCCGTATCATGGTACCTAGGCTCCGAGGGTTAAAATGCCTCCATTGTCCTCTTCGTGCTGCTAATGAAGCGTCATTGGTTTTTCTCTCTTGTTTCCAGGATCTTCAGCTTGCCTAGACTGCCCACCGCGATACCGATGCACGAGGCGAGTACAAGCAGACCCGTGTCCACAAGGAAGGTATTGTCCTGGAAAGACAGGCTATGACACAATACCCTGTCCAAATGGAACCTATGGAGCAAGCCAGTACCTGAAGAGTTCATCAGAGTGCACCCAGTGCACCGGTGGGTCTTATTGTGGAGGCACCGGCCTTGACAAAGTATCGGGACCTTGTAAACCAGGTAAAGCAAAGCAATTAATTTGACTGCTCCCATAGACCAACAGACCTACTCTTACCACTGTGACCCTTAGCTAGTAAAATTTCGAAGCACCATTCGCTTTAGAATTCTCTTTTTCAAGAAGCTGTAATTGTTACAAGAAAATTTTGTGGATTTCTGTTCTCACATTGTTTGAGGGGTTGATCAATTCAATTTGAACGTACGAGCGAAGTAAATCCGTGATTCTGTTGTCTTTTTCAAGTTATCTTACGATTCATCCTGCATAGTGGCCTCTGCCAGATAACGACCCGTGCTTCTGCACCAAACAAAGCTTCAGTGTTCAAAACCACCTTTCGTACAGTGTATTCTCCTCCAGTCTCCTTTTTAGCCCATTTTACAAGTGCAAAGGCACTGTTTTAATTCAAAATAGTGTCCTTAACAACAAACCACCCGTTGATCATTCAACCAATGCGTTGAACTAACCACTCATAAAGATCAGATCAAACTCCGTGAAATTAAAACTTTCAAAAGGTTTTTGTAGAAAAGTATTTTCAAGGCACCGCCCGGATTTGAACCGGGGATCTCCTGTTTACTAGACAGGCGCTTTAACCGCTAAGCCACGGCGCCACGTCTATACTTTAGTTCTCCGATGCTACGTATCCATTACCTTCTGAAACTTTATCCAAAATTAAAGAACAAGATACTGATGATGACCCGAAATACCATATTCGATGCCCTGCCTTTCCCCCATTCACCCACCTCCTTCCCTGATGCCACGCCCTATCCCCCATGCACTTAATGTGGCATCTTTGAGACAGCAATATGTGATAAAGCTACCAAATTTATTCAACCAAAACGATAATTCGGACCAGCCAAGTTCTTTAATCGCCATTTATTCTCAACCGCATTTCCTTTCTTTTTGGCGAACGTGCTCAAACAATAGGCTCTGTTTCCCGGGGTGAAATCAACGGGGGCATTCCATGTTGCCCCATCAAATGCCCCATATTCCAAGGGAAATCGATTGTTAAGGTTAACTCATTATCAGCAACGTTATTTACGTAAGCATTTGCAGTCTACCTACTTGGTGTCAATTTCAGACAATTGTAGTTGTGACATTCTCGTCACAAATTTTCCGGTATTTTCATGGATATTCAATGATATTCTGTTGGCAGTGTATTTGCTTTGTTTCCTTGGCTGCAATTGTGCCAAGCTGACATCACTGTTTCTTTTTTAGGATACTTCTGCACCAGCGGTGTTGACACTGACACACCAATCGGGTTCGGGCACACTGGCAATGGAGGGCGATGTCATCAAGGCCATGAGTGCCCCGGCGAAACAGCATTCCCAGTACCGTGCAAGCCAGGATATTATGCACCAAATCTAGGCATGGCTTCATGCCTTGTCTGCGTCCAAGGTACGTATTGTTCACTACTGGTTCCAAACTGCAGACCTAATCACTGTACTACCAATAAAGTGGAACTTTAAAAATATTGTGAATATTGCTTCGTGTGAGAAATCTCGAATATTAAACAGGGAAGAGAAGAAAGTTGATAGGAACAGAAAAGAAAGTTGACTGGAAATAATTAGTTTGTGTACTGGGAAATCCAGAAATAAGATCAGATTCCAGTGACCGTGCAGAAAACTTCTCAGACTTGTTCTCGAACCTTTCTGCTTCGTTTTGATATTTTGATCCTATAATGTTTTTAAGTTAACCTTTTTTATACATAGTTTTTGTGTGTGTTTAAAAACTTTGAAAACTTGTGTTCTTGGTGCTTTATTCTTCGGAGAATCTCTTCTAAGTCCAAAGAAAGATTAGCTTTATACTTGCTGAGGAAAATCTTCGAGTTTTCTACGTGTCAGAAAATTCTAACTTTCTTACATTGTTTCTGTTTCTCTCGTTTCAGGTTTTTATTGCCCTAATAAAACCATCTCTCCGGTAATATGCCCCAAAGGACACTTCTGCCCCAACGGCACAGAATATAGTACACAACACAAATGCCCACCTGGGACATATAATAACAAAACAGGACAAGCAGTCATCTCATCTTGCCTTTCATGTCCGCCTGGCAAGTACTGCGAAGGTTACGGAAGGACAGAACCCAATGGAGAATGCGACTCTGGCTTTTTCTGCAGAGGAGGAGCCGCTTCTGGACGACCTGGTGATATTGGTGCATTAGCTGTCAGCGCTACGTCTCCTAATGCCACATGCTACAAACCTTATGGATGTATTTGCCCAGCATTTAATTCAACAACAGGTATGAGAGTTTGTTAGAATTCAAGCCAGCTCTCGAAGGGTTGAATAAAAACACTGGTATCCAAACACGAGCTTAAGACCTAAATCATACGATTTAAATGAGTATGCTATAAGCATGTTCTTTGTGCCCTTATCTAGCTATGTTGTTTCCTTTTCCCCGTCAAAAGCCCGTCAGTTATGCAACCAGTAGTCTCAGATTCACGAATGTTGTTGCTCCGGTCGTTTTCTGAGGGGTCTTTAGGTATTTCTTTCCACCCATTGAAGAAAGCAAACGTTATTGTGATTTATTCTCACCACAGGTGACATTTGTCCAGCTGGCCATTACTGCCCGAGAGGATCTCAAGAGCCTACAAAGTGTCGTGGTGGCATGTACTGTCCACATGCAGGAATGTCCTACCCACAAGGCAATTGTACTGCAGGCTACTACTGCAATGGAAGCTCAACAGTTCCAAACCAGCACGAATGCTATCCGGGACATTACTGTCCATCCGGGACGGAGATCCCTATTCCATGTGAAATCGGTACGTTTGCCAGTGGTTCCCGCAACACCAAAGTACAAGATTGTCTCAACTGTACCGGTGGTCGTTACTGTAGCCAGCGCGGAAAAGCTTCAACAACCGGACCATGTGCCGCAGGGTATGCTTTTTTCCACTGTTGCAAATGTTATGGTCAACATTTCCTCGTTATTTTCCTGCAATGATTTTGCCCTTGTGAATGAACATTGCATCCCTAAAAGCATTTTTAGAGTGAGATATGGGTTTGCAAGAGGTCATTCTCAAATTCTGTATTTGAGCCCGAGAGAAAAGTCTCCCTGCGTACCCTAATCAAGCTGTATTATGTATGTTCGATGCAAGAAATCGCTACAGTAGCAAGAGGTTTAAGAACCTCTCCCAATTTAGTGCAAACTTGACAGATTGCCCCTATTGTTTTCCTTCTCAAGATTCCAAAGCATATTTTTTTTGTATTTCGAATCTCTGTATCAGACCATGCTTCATAAAAATCCCTCTCTTCAAAACATTCTCATTTGTATCTCAACCATATCTTTGCCATTTTGTTGCCGTATTTTCTACAAATTAACAAACTTTTTTTTAAATTTAGGTATTTCTGCCCTGGAGGACAGTCAAGTAGCACTCCACCCGCGCATCTTTGCCTTGTTGGCCATTACTGCCCGGGCGCAAATTCTTACCCGGTACCTTGTGAGAACGGCACCTATCAAAATGTAACCGGACAAAGCTCGTGTATACCTTGCCCATCTGGATTTTACTGTGACCCATCTGAAGGTCCGATTGTATCGCCAAAGCAATGTCCGCGCGGGTTTTATTGTCCTGCAGGCTTGAAGACCAAATGCCCTATTGGTTTGTATCATATTTTTTTAATCTATATAACATTGGTTATGAGTATCAATAAGCTGTACCAATTCATGCTTCTGAGGCAATTTTATTAATAGCAAGAACAGCATTATGTTATGCATCATCTAAATAAACATGCACCAATATATTTTGAAAAAGGCCAATAGAACTCCTTATTAATGATGATTTCTAAAATTGCAGGTACTTATGGCCCTAATCTGGAAGGAAAAACTATGAATGATTGTGAACAATGTCCGCCGCAGTTCTTCTGTGGAAGTCCAGGTCTTTCTTCGCCTAGTGGAAAATGCTACGCCGGGTATTATTGTATGGGCGGAGCAAAAACAGCCTCACCTGAAAAAGATGGAGCAACAGCAAATGTAACATTCCCATACAAAAATGATCAATGTGTCCCTGGTTACTTTTGTGCCAACGGTACGGATGTCCCAACTCCTTGTCCTGCAGGGTACTTCTCGAGCCAAAGAGGCCTTCGCTCTGCAGGTGACTGTAAGGAGTGTCCGCCAGGCCGTTACTGTGACACAATTGGCCTGCAGTCAATAACAGACCCACCAAAATGCCAAGCTGGGTTCGTGTGTCGATCAGCTAGTAAGACTGCGACTCCATTTGACGGTATCAAGGGCTACCCGTGTCCAAAGGGAAGCTACTGTCCAAAAGGTAACGGCTGTTTATAATTTATGACCCGTTAGTGTTAATGGTAGACCACTAGTAGTTATTCTCCATTCACTCTCAAACCGGAGGTGTATCTGTTTTGTTTTAAGGGATCTAGCTTATTGACATATTACTTAAATTGCTGTATTTATCGTCTAAAATTTAATGCTAACATCCTGGTATGGTTTTTAACGTATTGATGAAAGCCGATGTATCATCTGTTATCCATTTTGGTCCCAATAGGATCAGCTATTCAGCTTGGATGCAATCCTGGAAGCTATCAACCAGATTCTCAACAGCCGAACTGCACTATCTGCCTCCCTGGTTTTCACTGCCCTAATAACAACATGACGAGCCTAATAGCCTGTCCTGTTGGCCATTACTGCCCGGGTGCAGACGTAACAGGGGTGAAATGCCCAGCCGGTACGTACAACAACAAAACTGGAGCTACCTCTCCATCGGGCTGCACTGACTGCCCAAAAGGACTTTACTGCTTGCTAGGCAGTGTCAATCCAACTGGAAAATGCCAGCAGGGGTATTATTGTGAAGGAGGGGCAGCAAGTCGTGCACCAAATGTGTCTAGTGTCAAGTATCCAAGGAACGGATTGTGCCCTGCAGGCCATTACTGTCCGGAGGGTACAGCAGCACCCGTAAAATGTCCGGAAGGCCGTTACAGGTCCTCACCCGGTGCAGCTGATGCCAATGCTTGCTCTTTGTGTGACCCCGGATACTATTGTAAAGGCACCGGACTCACCAGCTCAACAACAAAATGCTATGCTGGCTGGTATTGTCCCGCAGGAAGCAACGATCCTACACCAAAGAACTATACCTGTTGGCCCGGACATTACTGCCCGAACGGAACTGCTTTGCCTACACCTTGTCCACCAGGTCTGTGCATCTTATTTTGTCTTTCCTCCCGATAATCTTGTCTGTTGCTGTTATTGAGCAAACCAGTATATTTGCTCTACTAGATAATGATGTAGCTCTCGTCATGTTGGTTGATATTGCAACACTTTTTTACACACAAAAAATGACCCGTATTTCAATACCGTAAAGATTCAGCTAAGATGACCAGCACAAGGCCTTTTTAATTCATGCCTACGTAGAATCCCAATTTCATTTTTGCTTCAATAAATATTGCATTGTTAAGTATTTTGATTTGTGCATTTTATGACATCATGCAGAAAACGTGTGATACGCCCCCCCCCCCCCCCCGTACATTTAGAAGTAGTTAATATTGCTTATTCGGGTTATATAATCAAATTTTGAAAATTCTTAAAATATATTTTTGTGACGTCATCACTTCTGTACTCTATTTAAGTCTGCCTGTTTTCTTCTTCCGAAATACTTTACTGAATCGCAATTACGTTATCTAACTATTTGATTATTTTTGCAGGCACGTACCAACCAAATTCAGGCAGCCCTGTATGCACCGATTGCCCGGCTGGTTATTATTGTACCAGCAGTGTATTTAAACTTGTTACCTGCCCCGCAAGACACTTCTGTCCAACAAGGAGCACACTGCCGACATTGTGTCCAAATGGAACATTCACACTCGATAACGAAACTGGGCTGCAAAGCTATACACAATGCAGGCCATGTGTTACGTCATACTATTGTCAGTTAGGTGGGTTAATTTGGAAGCTCTAATCGAAGTTATTCTGATCTGCTTATCGTTATGCTATTGGTATATTTGAGTACTTTAATATTTTTACCAGACTCTTTGTTATCATGTTTACCGATCTTTGTTTACGCTGTATTTTGACATTTTTACCATAGGTAAGGTGATGAGCAAATGCCACGCTGGGTACTGGTGCAGAAGTGGAAGTCCTGACCCAACTCCGTCATTGAAGTATGAAACAACTACAGTCCTTGATTGCAATTCATCTGCCAATTACTCACAGATCCAGCACGGCCCGTGCCCGCCTGGTTCATACTGTCCCAATGGTACAGCCGTGCCAATAAATTGTCCAAAATACACATTCAAAACAAGATGGGGTGGCAGTGATATTTCAGCGTGTCTTCCATGCCCTGCTGGAAACGAATGTTTCGCAGGTTGGTATCCTTCTGTTACCTGTTTGATCGACAAAAACCTTCTGTTTGGTGTCGATCTCCTTGTTTAATTAGATTCGATGATTTCCCCAACCTAAGACACTTTTTATGAAATTCGTTGTTTTTCGTTTTCTCTTTTTCGCACTTCTACGTTGCCCTTTGAAAGCCCATTTGGTGGTTTTAGAAGACCTTTCCCTTAGTCATTAGTTTCTAATCTTTATTCGTTTTCCTAGGCAATCCCAAGTTATATCCGTGTCCCCTTGGAAAGTATTGTCCTGAAGGAGCTGATCCAATCAACTGCCCAGTCCTCACTTATCGCGACCAATACAGCGGAAGATCCGAGGCAGATTGCTTCAAATGCCCTGCCGGCTATTGGTGCAATAAAAACGGTATGCCAACATACAACGCGAGTGCATGCCCGATTGGTAAATACTGCCCGTCAGGACACCACCCAGTTTGGTGTCCGCCTGGCCGTATTCGTCCAATGCCTGGTGCAGGAAATTGGAGTGAGTGCAACCTTTGTCCGGGTGGCTATTACTGTCCGTACATGACTTCGAACTACACAGGGTTACCATGCAGCGCAAAAACGTATTGTCCACCAGGGTCTGCAATGGAGAAAGATTGCCTTGCTGGACACTACTGTCCGGAGATTACTAGCCGACTGATCATTTGTCCAGGTGAGTTTTGCTTAGAGTTCGTCGTCTATTACGGTCAACCAATTGTGGAAGATACATTTTGATATTTCTAAGCAAGCAGATTAAATTGGCATTTGCTTAATGTGACATTTAAGCTTCATTAAGAGCCCTTTAAACAAATATTCTTATTAGGGCTCACCTTCACTATCCTTTTTTATTTGTTTTACAGGAACATTTACTAACCGTTTGATTAGCTACAACATTCTAAAATTCTTCTTAAATGTTACATAAATAAGGTTTAAAATAAAACAAATATAACCTATGTTTTCATGTTTATACTTCCTTGATGTCAAAATAAATAATGAAAATTGTGTAATAGCTCTGAAGTTTCTTCATAACATACTCTCATTTTTTCGAAGATAAAGAGGAAAGCATCTTAAAAGTTTTATGTTTTAGCAGGGTTTACTGTAATTATTGACAAGCATTATACTTTACTTCTGCAGCTGGCTACTATTGCCCTAACTCGACGAGCGTGCCAATCAAATGTGAATACCCATATTACTGCCCAACCGGAAGCTCGTCGATGCTCGCCTGTCCGCTTGGCTATATGGCAACAACAAAGGCAGGAAACCGTACATCACAAGCAATGTCATGCTCTATATGCCCCGCTGGCATGTACGGCGACCATCCTTTGAGATTCAATTGCTCTACTTGTATTGAAGGCTTCTACTGCCCTGCTGGTACTACCGGACCTTTTAATAATCCCTGCCCGGTTGGTTATTACTGTCCGGCCGGCTCCGGAGCCCAGGTGAGTTGCTGGTCCACACTGATATTTTAGTTAATACATATGTAATCATATGTAAATCATATGTAAGATTAATCCTATATATAGTTACTGCTGGCTTAGCAGAGTGAGACTTAATTGCCCGATTTAACAGATCTCTAAAACAGTTTCAATACAGGGGACCTGGCTATAGGAAATTCATGTATTTAAAATGGCATTAAAAGTTTGGAATCCAATCACAATTAAATTTTTAGCCTTTTTCTGCAACCCAGATTTATAGGAAAGAGTTTATATCAGAAGTTCAATGGCTTTTTAAATAATGCTTCTTTCCAGATCCCATGTCCACCGGGAATGTACGGAAATTTGGAAAAAGCTACAAAATCCAGTCACTGTTTACCTTGCCCACTCAACACTTTCAACAATCAAAGAGGTCAAAAAGCATGTCGCCCTTGTGGAAGCAGTGCTGAAGCGCCAATAGGTTCTCCAAAATGTGGCTGCATCGGGAAGAACCGAGCTTTCCAGGTCTCAGATGGTGCGTGTGTATGCAAGACAGGTTATGTGTTTTATGATGAACTTAATTTAGAGCAAACAGAAGGAAACAGCGATTTGGACTGTCAAGAGATGGTAAGTTTTCCCAACGATCCTTTATCATTTTGAAAGGTATCTGGCCTTTGTTTTATACTCCTTAATGTGTATTGCAAGGTAGTTGATGTTTTGTTAAACCGGTTTACTTTCCTTACTTCCCCAAATAGGCATTCATTGTGTGCTTATTTTCCAGGTTGATGCCATTTGTCCATCTGGGCAAGTTCGTATTAGCTCAAGCCGCAAGTGTATGGACCCTACAACCTACGCTAAAGAATATTGCAAGGATTACTGTGGAGGGGAAGGTGGTGAGTTTGCTTCGGAATACGGGATGTGTAAGTGCAAGTCTTATACAACCTTTAAGGAACAGTGCGATCAAGCCTGCATTAACAATAGTCCTGCTACGAAGATTGGCCGATCAGGCGATAGCACGCTTCAGATAATTATTACGGACAGAAGTGGTAAAACGACTAAAGTTAACATATTGTTAGAGATGGGCCTCCCTGATTACGATCGGAGTGAGCGAGACTGCAGGTTTGTCGAGCAAAGAACTGATGGGATGTATGGCTTCTACCCGAAGGAAATTTCACAAGCACTTGGATTCGCAAGTACAGGATCTTCTAGGAAAAAGAGGGCTGTGTCTCCTACAGCGCCAGTCACCATCCGCTCACCTGTTATTTGTGTCTCTATCGGGCAAGTCGTCGTCTTCAAGGTGAACCTTAACCCAACGAATAGAAGCCTCAGTAATTATCCACAGTATCAAAAGAATCACCTGTTCAACACGAACCCTGATTTCGATTATGGTAACTTCAGACAGTTGCATTCCATAATTCAGACCACAAACCAAACCGTGAGCATCTTTGCTCAAATTTTCACAGAGCCAGGCGTGCACGTCTTCTACGATAATGCTGTCCCTGCTCGTGAAACGATTGTCATGGTGCCACAACTTGGCAGTGAATGCCCAAAGAACCTCACTATGGATGCCTCCTTGTCATCGACTCTAACTACGGCCAAAGTCACCAAGCAGGAAGTAAGCTAGCACCTTTTTTCTTGTCACTTTCATTATATAATCATATTGTCCTATTCGAGTCCGCAAAAAAGCAGCGATACTATGAGAAGAAAATAAATTTTGATTGGTAGCTATTCGCTAAATTATCTCAGATGTACTGGTTATTTCTTTGATATTTCTTCACATTGAAAAGCTGCATATTTTACCCAAATCTTCTCGAATCATTCGGTTCTCAAAAGACAGTTTTCGTGAATAATTCGACCTAGATGGTTCACACATGTCGTCAGAATGTGCTATAATGACATCGAAATCATAGTTTCTTTTAATACTTGATCGTTTTTCCTACCACCAATTTACCACTGTCTCCAACTAGTATACAGATCTGCTCGCGTTTAATTTTGTCACGATATTTTGGATGATATATCATAATTGAGCCATCATAAGCCCTGCGCACACGGCAGACATTTGTCTTTGAAAAGCAAAGATTTTTCTTCGTCTTCCGAAGACTATCTTCGAAAATTAACCATGTTTAATTTTGTATTTTCATGTATTCTGTCTTTGGAAGGCAAAAGACAAAAATCTTCGTCATTCAAAGACAAAAATCTTCGTTTTTCAAAGACAAAAATCTTCATCCTTCAAAGACAAAAATCTTCGTCTTTCAAAGACAAAAATCTTCGTCATTCAAAGACAAAAATCTTCGTTCTTCAAAGACAAAAGTCGCCGTGTGCGGTGAGCTTCAGATGTAGAAAAAAGGACTTTAGTACGGAAAGGTGGAAATGATACGCTAATTATTTCTAATGATGATGATGTTTTCTTTCAGCCAAAGAATCTCGCTCCTAATTGGGTGATAATCTACGCTGTTATTGCTGCCTTCTTTGTTTTTGCTGTCTTTGCAGTTGTAATTGCCATTATCTGGAAACCCAAGGCAATCGGTAACTAAACTGTTAAGATATAATATATGTATATTTAATGGAAATGGAATGTCTAGTATCTTTGGTGCATGCAATGGTGATATTTAGTATGATATTAAGCTATTAGGGTAATGTATGGTATTATCAAAATAATCTTTCCTTGTAATATCATACTAATATTAAACAATATTAATCATTGGTGTCCTATATATTGGATAGTTCAAGTCAATATTTTTATTTAAAACTTAAAGATTAGAAACTCACAATGGAATTTGCAGCCAATAAATAAAGTTCCTTTCGTTCAGATTCCGTTTTCTTCCTCTGTAGCTCTATAGCTCTCCAGCCCCAGGTTTCTTGTTTTTATCATTTGCATTTTTAGTGAAACGGTATTCCAGTTCATCACAGGAGTTTTTTTATAAATTGTCATAGGCTGGCATATAAGCTATACTCTTAATTTCTGCATCACTTTTTTTGGTTACGTCGAGCATTGGGTTATCGGATTATATTGTTTGTTTTTTTTTAATGTCACTTGAGCTCTCAGGTTGGGTTCAGACTTTTCTCATTGTTTTAATATTGCGTTAGGCCCAATGGTGAAATGCACATAAACATCCTATTGTATATGCCACAATTTTTATGCAGATGACTGAATGTCAAGTTCATCATTTTTTATAGGAATATACCCAATACGAGCACTGCAACCAAAATACCGCAGTCTGGGGGCACCGATACCAGTCATACCAATCCCAGGCATTGATGACAACCCGTCCCTGCTGCTTGGACCGCGCGGTGCTCCTGAAGGTGCCGCTGATTTTGAACCGTTCGTCGGAGGATCTGGAACAAACAAAGGACTCTTGGAGAACTTCAGCGTTCGCACCTTGTATGACAAGCTAGAGGATCAGAATTTGCACATGGCCTCTCAACTCGCGAGACACCAGTCAGATCTTCGCGGATTCTACGACAGGATTTGCCAGCAAACCGAAGGATTAAAGCAGATGCTACAGAATCTTGATGTTTCGGTTCTCGCAAAAGCTACTGAAAATGCTGCCAAGATTAAAGCAGATGCTGGAATTGAACGAGAAGGTTTGTCTGTTTGATCATATCGCAAGCGTTAAGACCAGACGTTAGAGGCTTGTCATGGTCATTGTCATTGTCGAATGTCAATAATCGTCAATATCTTGAGTCAATAATCAGCCATTTGATTCAAAAGCTTTGGAATCAAAGTTGTCTCTGATTGTTAAAAATCGTTCAATTATCGATCAAGCTCAATGGTGCGTGAATTTCACTCCCGTGAAAATAAAGTTGAGCACAATAGGGGACAGACTACCTTTAACTATCGTTGTCATAAGCATAGCTATCTTCTTTATCATTATCGCTGTCTTAATTGCCATGAACACCAGCATCCTTCGCCATTTATTGCGTTGTTGTCCTCATCGTCAACTAACGTTGAAAACTGGCTCTACGTTCGATTCTTACATTGAGGATCTGTTTGCCCCCTAGATTTGCAGCAGGCTTCAGTCCGCGAGCAGGTGACACACAAAGCCTTAACTGGCGGCGAGTCCAGCAGAGAAAAGGAACTGATGATAACTGTTCAGCAATTGCTAGAAAAGTATGAAAATGGCTGGCAGCCTATGGTGATACAACAAGCTGGAGGTAAATAATGAGGAGCTATCATAAGATGTTCTGTCACAGATTATATCTCAACTGTAATTTTTGCCAGTTTTTAGTTTTTAGGTCCAGAAGTATGTTCGCTAGGGAAAATTCTTACCTTCCCTACCCAATTCTAACCACAGAATGCACAATTCTTGCCCTTTTTAATATGCTAAAGAATATACCCTATGGCCGATGATTCAAACATATATAGATGGAATGATTTTGAAGTTAAATAAAAATCAGTATAGTTAGTAAACATATAATTGATTTACTGTGTATATTGAAAATCCTTTTATAGTATGGTGCTTTGATTGCCCATCTTACCTTTATGACTTAGATCGAATGCCCGTGAATTTCTAGAAGAAAAGAAAATTATTAGTCCGTGTTGAAGGTGAAATAATTGCTTTTATTTATGTATGTAAAAACAAAGGACGAAAATCATATTGAAAATTTATATTACCTAGACCAAACACAGCAAACCATGGCATATTCTTCCATGTCCACCTTTGCCACAACCAACGCAAAGATTCATGGCACAATGAGCTCGACAGGAGCTGCCTCGGGCAAGATAGTTGAAGGCCACACTCTTGTCCTGCCATCCGGTGACTTTGACGACGATTTGAGAAGAATGAACGCCGAAAGGGTGAAACTTGATGAAGAACTTCGTGAGGACGAAAGCAAGGAGATTAAGATATTTGTTGACGATTTTGTAAGTATAGCTTGATAATCGACATGTTAAACTAGTGTGAATAGCAAGCTTTAAGGTTCGGGGGCTCAGCCACGCTCGTCTTCCTTTTATCTGTATTCAGGAGTATTTGCATAAAGACTTTACCGGTCTGGCAATTGAAGTCTTTAAAACTGGAAACACAAACAAATATGCTTATAATCATCTTTGGATTTATAGATCTACCCAGATAAGATATTACCATTCATTTGAAAGGGCTTCATTTGTAAAGACAATTATCGTGGCGCACCTTACTTGATGTTTTTCATTAATTATTATGCTCCTTTCTTGTTTAAAAGAACCTTTGCCATTGATCTTTCGATGGGGTAAAATAAAGCCCAAACAGATCCTATTGTTCAGTAAAACATTTCGGGCTAAGTCCTGTGAAATTCTTTGAATTGTTTCAATTTTTTATTTTATGTTTCCAGTTTTACTTTAGCCACTTTCGAAGAGCGATCTTTTTCCATCGTGGGATTCCATTAGCCTCCTCACCATGAAAATTTAGCCAAATTCTCTTTGCCAAATTTAGACGTGATCTTATTGCACCTCTTTTGTTTTTCTTGACTTTAAGGAGTCGCAACGGCGAAATCTTATGGGCAAAGCTGGGGAGGATCTTGCTGAGAAACTGAGTGGTGACTTGTCTGACAGCGAAATCGCGGCCGTAATAGCTGCCCATAACAAGGAGCTAAGGGAGTTGGAAAGCAAGTTCGACACGCAGAAAGACAGACAACAGGCAGAGCTGATGGAAAAGCTAGCGCAAAGAAGACTGAAAAAGGAAATGGCTTTGCGTGAAGATCACTCGCAGATCGTACGTGGCTTGATCTTTTTTTTCATAGATTCCATATGACGGCTATAGACATTTAATTGTCCTAGATGACGATTTTAGATTTTAAAACTATAAGAAAGTTTTTTAATTCCGTCTGTTCTCCATAGGCACTCAAACATGACCTCAACATTGATGACGTCACAAGTGTTAGTGATCCTGAGACAACCCTTCGTAGACTGCAAAATTCCATTGACATGGTAAGTTTGGAGGAGAGTCTTGAAATCGCCAGAGCTGAAGCTGCGAGAGCGATGCACGAAATGCGTGAGCAGAGCAAGAGCATTGGAAACAGTTTCTCAGAAGCAGTTGTGAGTTTCCATTTCGTTTATCGCTAATCTATTGATAATCTTATTTTTGACCTTCCCAAGAATTGTTAACAGATCAGCTCTGAATGCTCTCTTACCTATATATGGATCGAAATTAGCCTGCCTGTCTGATCGATCTGTCTTTGACCTCATTTGAATAATGCAATGAAGAACTTTTCTTTTTGTAATTGGTATCAATCAGTCCTTTCTATGGCGTTGGGGGTCTCAATGCTCTAGTGCAATTCGCTAATAAAACATGCGTACAGGGACGTTTCCTAATTCAAATGCAAAATTACCAGATTGCTCTTTGAACAGAGTGTCATGATTGATCAAGCCAGAAATTCGATACTGTCCGGGGATATGCCCAGGGTACCCTGGAGTACATCGTTATATGAAAGGGTATCCTAATCCAATTTGTTGAATCAAACTTTTTGCCCACCAGGAACACCTTGCAGAAGATGGTTCTTTGTCGTCCGAGGATGCAGAGGAGATAAAGAGAAGATCTTTGGAAGCCGAAGACCAAATAGACAAGCTCTATGAGATCAGGCAAAATCAACAAGCAAATCTTATGAGAAGAGAGCTTGCTTCTCGTAAATCTGACAAAATGAAGGCGTTGCTAGAAAAGCAAGCAGCGGAAAAAGCTGAGGTGAGTTCTTTTATATTGAAAGCAATCAAAGTGGTTTTTCCAACTTTAGGGCCCAGTGTTTTGTCAAAAAGCTGTGACTCGTTAGACCCTGCCAGAAACGTTAAGCATAGAATTTAAAAGCATTTTTAAACAGTAGGGATACATTTGTATTCGATTGTGCTATTTAGTGTTTGAGGTTGACAGAAATTAATTTTCATTGGAAAAATTCAAGCTCTTGGGCTTTGACCTCATTGGATGTAATTTACAATGTTGAAGAAATAATTTGGTAATAGCGTTCTCAAGTGTCTACAGGATCAAAACAAGCCTTGAGTCTCTTCATAAGAGGTCCCTTAAACTGTCATAAGACGTCTCTTTAACTGGCAATTTCTATCGTTCAGGCTGTGCGTGAAGGCAGAGATTTGCAGGAGCTTAGCTTGAAACATGAAAAAGAGAGAGAGCTCCTCGAAGCAACTTTTGAAGTGCAAGAACAAGAGCACCTTGCTGAACTCCAGAAGAAGATTTCAGAGGAGCACAAGGACGCGCTCATTGAGAACAACAGAAAACAGATTGCATATGTAAGAAGATTAATCTTTCTTTTAATTTGCTTTCTTTCAATTTGCTTCCTTCGTCTTGAATTTCATCTTTCTTTTTCTTAACATAAATTTTTATCTTGAGTTTCAATTATTTGTTGCCTTCCCCATTTCTTTGTTCTTTTTCTTTTTTTCCTCTCGTTCACCAGTTCTTTTCGCCTCGTTCTTTCCTCCCTTTTGCATTCTTTATCGTCCATCTGGTTTGAATCTTTAAGTCATGACAATGTTCATGCGCTCATTACACTGTAGTGTCCAGAAACTTAGATTGCTAAATTGATTAACATTTCTTTATTTTGTCAGCTTTCTGACCAGAAGGGACTCGCCAAAGCCGCTGTTGAGCAAATGATTGACCAGCTTCGCAAAGACAACAATGCACTTGCAGCAAACATGGAGCAGAGACGAAACAAGAATATGGATGACATTAAGGTAGCAATCAACTTTGTTTGCATTTAGCTATCAGGCGTTCGATACCCTAACTTATTTGCAAACTTTGTTTACTAAAGCAAAATGTCAAGCAAAATACATGAAAAACTGAATTTTTCTATGTAAGCTTTAACAGCTGATGATATTGCAATGATCTTGATTATATGAGTGACTATTCAGTAATGACAACATGAAGAATTTCGAGCATCGAGTATCAATTTTAAGATTTAACATGCAATGTTACAATACAATTCAAATTCCTACAGGCAAAACTGGCAGCACGTAAGGCAAGAAAGGAACAAGAAGTTAACAGAAGAGCCAAAGAAGAAGCCCAACAGAAAATATTGGAAGAGCAAAGCAAACTGGCACAGGCTAACACGCCCAAAGATTTAGAGGATATTGTCCTACCTGACATTGTTGTACCAAAAGATACCATTGAAGTTTCGGTGCGTGTTCTTACCCTTATTATGTACGCTGCAGTTTAATACTATGCAGTTTAGATTCAACTTTTCTGCTCAACGCCGTTGACCTCTTGCTACCAAAACTTTTAAAATCCTTTTGCATCTAATTCAGTTTGAACAATTTGCTGCTTGCAATTGTTCTTTCCTGATAAATGTATACAGTTCTAAACTTTCAAAAGAAAAGCTGATGGTTTCTAAATAACCGACATCTGTTTTGCAGGCTTTGAAAAAGGAGCAAGAGCGAACAGTGGAGGATCTCAGAGAAGCCCAGAAGACCGCAGAGCAAAAACTAGCAGAGAAACTTGAAAAGGAGGCCAAAGACGAAGAGGCAAGAAAGATTAGAGAATTCGAGACTTACAAATCACGTGCTATTAACGAAGTAAGGAATCGCCAGGCGGCTGAGCTATCTTCAAGGAATGATATGGATGCTGACGAATCGCAAAGAGTGAGTGATTTAGATTCGATTCGATTCGATTTGATTTTACTTGATTTGACTTGAAATGTTTACGCAGTAATAGTTAATCCTTGCACCATTTCAGGATATCATCATTTTTAGTGCGCACTGATAACATCAATTTTGTACAAGCTGAGCAATCCAGCCTCAAGCTGAGGTCTCAAACCAGGCCTTTGTTTACAGTAAACAATTTCTGGGGAGTCTTTCCGATTATGAAATGAATATTTTCATTTTTTTTGCACTGGCTTAGCTAAAAGTTGTTCTATTGATGAAACCCATTCTAATGTATGACAGCTATCCAATGCTACTTTTTCACGATATTTTTCATTTGTCCCATTAAGCTTCTTGACAACCATCAACGAGAACTCGACGATTTGATGGAGAAGCTGGACTCGGAAAAAAATAAACAGCAAAGCAACTTGAAGCAAAAACTAGCCGAGAGGAGGCGACAAAAAGAAGAAGCTTTAAGGCGAAAGCAAGAGGCTGAGATGGCCAAGGAATTGCTGGAACAAAAGAAAGAACTTGTCGAAACACACCTCTCAGCCGTATGTCTTTCTTTGTCCAATTTTTATGCTCTAATTTAACAGTAATAGATATTTCTGTAATCTAAATTATGTTTGTAAAACGGAGATCGATTGCCTATTTGTCGATCTGAGAGCTGTCTTACAACCAACCACATTGTTACTTTCAACTACATTGTTATTGTTAAGAACTGTGCGTCGCAATGGCATATTTGGGAATTGAGCACTAGAAAATTATGTTAAATCAAGTATTTTGAACCTTTTTTTAATTGCTTTTGTACTTATACAGGTTCGCAAAGCAGAAAAAGAAGCAATTCTGGATGCCATCCGAGAGCATGGATCAGAAGCTAGTGAATTTGTCATACGAAAGGTATTGTTCAAGTATTCATTATAGTTAAGGTCTTACTGCTGATTTTTACAAATTTGCCAGCTTTTCAGTATATTTCCATTTGCGGAAAGATTGTTATACAGACTGGATTGGAGTGTTAGTTCCAAAATTCGAATGAAATGGCATCTGCCTTCCTAGTCGGAAGGAGGTATAACCTTTTCCTTTTAATGTAGCAACTGCTGAGAGCTAACTGAATCTAATCAAGCCTGTTGCCACATGGTAACTTGGTAAAGTACTCCCTATAACTACCAAGACATGCGCATTGTTAATTGTTATGGATATTTTAATAAGAAATTGCACAAGTTTCCCTTCTTCTTCCGTACCAATATTCCTTTTATAGCTGCCATGGACCCTCTTGTTTGCAATACATATTTCTTAAGTGTTGTTTACCGGGCATTGGTTAATCTGAGAGGCTTACTCAAATCCGTTGTTTGCTAGATCTTGGACAAAAGGCACAGCCAAGAACTACTGAACCTGGATGATGCATTTGCTGAAGAACGCAAGGTTGTTGTTGATGCTGCTCTGTCAAAGCTGGAAGAAGAGCAAAGCCAAGAAAAGGATGATTTGAGAGCCAAACACGAGGCAGCTCTCAGAGCCTTGGAAGGTATGTGAAATTTCTGTTGCTTGTTACTTTCGGGGAGAGCAATGCTTTAAGGACATCTTAATAATCAAACTGGTACTTACGATGTCCCAAAACTATTAGCCCCAACAAGCAGCTAGCAGTAGCATGACGTCAACCGAGCCCGAAATGAAGTAAGAGGCAAAATCTTAATTGTGATGTAGGCCCATCGGGATTTTTGCTTCTTGCGTCAAATGGAGCGCAATTCTTGTTTTTTGGCTAGAGGGATAAATTTATATATTTTCTATTGATTTCGTTACAGAGGAAGGTCTGAGCACTGAGGAACTACAACAGCGAAGAGGCCAACTGTTTAACCAGCAGTCGCTTGAGCTGAGCTCACTTGAAAGAAAGCATGCTGAGGAGAAGAAGAGCATGCAACGGGCGGCCCTATCTGACTGGGAGCTGAGATACGCACGCGCAAAGCTCGAACTGAAAGAGAGGCATTACAAAGAGTTTGCGGAATGTTTGAATGAATTATCGCCAGACCAAGCTGCGGAACACCAACGTGCCATTGAACAGGCGAACGAGAAGGCAAGGCAGCTGGCGGAAGTCAGAAACAAACTTGAAGATCAAAGAAAAGAGAGCGAGGAACGAATGAAGCGGGAACTAGAAGGTTAGTGTTTAATTGCTTTTAATATAGAGTAGACCAGAATTGTTTTGTTTTGCATATTCATATTTATAATTGTAGACAGACAAACCAATTCAAATTTCATAGATATTTTGAATTTCACAATATTAGAAATTAGGATGTTTTAACTAGGCCCTAACTAGAATTATTTTGAAACAGATACTGATTCAAATTAGATGATTTGATCCGATTGGCATGCATAAGAGGTGAGCCAGGCTGGCAACGCAAAGATAATGTTCTCAGTCGCTTACCTTTTATGAGACTGGTTTCAAACAGAAACTGTTTTTGCAAAAGTGTAACTCCATATTTACTTAATGGTTCAAAATTTGCTTGTTAGATTTCAAGGCGGAAGAGGAGAAGCGACTGGAACTTGAACTTCAAGAATTTAATGGTCAACTTCAAAATGAGATGGAAGAAGAGCGTGCAAGGAATGAGAAAGCAATTTTGTCTTTGAGTCAGCGAAAGGAAGCGTTGTTGCAAGAGAAGAAACTGAAAGCTAAACAGGAAATTGAGCGGCTCAGCCAACAGGGTGGAAGTAAGGAGGAGCAAGAGGCCCTTATGAAGGAGCATACGAAAGATCTTGCCAAACTAATGAGCAAAATGGACGCCGATAGGATGCGCATGCAGAGCTCTTTGGAGGAGCGTTTGAAGAAGAAGCGAGAGGAACGAATGAAATCGAAATTGAAAGAGCTGGAAGACAAGTCAGACGAAAGCCAACGCGAGTTCATGGATAAGCTCGAGTCTGAAACAGAACGTGTCAAGGCAGATGAAACTTTGATGCTGAAAGAGACTATCAGCGTTGATACGATAGTTCAAGCAGCGGAAGTTTCAAATGCACCTGCAAGTACTAAACAGGCTGAGCCAATGCCGTCCTCCTATCGTATGGCTGCACCAATGACAGACGGAGAACTGACAGCCCTGCTCATGTCATCTCCATTGTATCAAAAGCTCCAGGACATTCAGGATATTGTTGGTGGCGGAACAGGCTCCAAAGGCAAGAAGGGCAAAGGGGCTGATGGTCAGTGTTTTATAATAATTTCCTATCTTAACTTTTAGATCGATAAATTTTGCTCGATCCGTTACCTCCAATGCAAAAAATTTGATTGATGTTTTGAAGTATCTCGATTTTAATTGTACGAATTTCTTAGGATGAAATATTGCATACAGAAAACAGCTAGAAAGAGCTCTTACTTAGATTGGATAGTTCTATAGTTCTCAATGTTGCACGATTTAGGACAGAAAATGCTCACAAAAACTCAAAACCCTGCAACACGCAGATTAAATGCTTGTGCTTTACATACGTTGGTGTTGGATGAAAACTAAGCCAGCGCACATCTTGGGATAAAACGAGTTTCAAGAACAAGCCAGCGTATTTATTATAAATGCGTTGCCGGTTAAATTTAAGTGAAACCCATAGACATCTTCTTCGATATTGAGTAGATCACCAAGTACCACGTATTATAGGGAAAAGGTAATCCTAAAAGACTTGTAATGAAGAAACGTTTTACTTTTACATGCATGCAAGTTATATCCTAAAAAAGGATTTTTTTAAATTCTAAATTGAACTCTCTTCTAGATGCGTACATAGATATCAAAGACGACACATTGTTCAGCAGCGACGAAGAGCTAGTACCAGTGGATCTCGACCTCATCAGTGCTCGCGAATTCATCGTTTATAAATTTGCCTGTTTCACTGCTGATCTTCTTGTCATTCAATGTTACCATAAACCAATCAACATCTTACTTGCGGAAAAACTGCCACCTAACACTCAGATGAAAAGAAATGCATACAGAAACTCCTTCTTCTTTGATGCTAACAACCAGATACTTTACCTAAGGCGCGATCGTCTCGAATCAGTTGGTGAATTTGTCCTGGTTCTCGTTCACACCCTGTCACACATCAAAGTACAAGATATGATTGATGATTCTGACCCTGCTTTCGTCAAGGAGTTCTACAAGTCCATTAGTGTCGTGTGCAATGACCTCTTCTTTGCAAGATACAAGCGATCAACTGCTCTGTCTTCGGCTATGATGTCATTCCCAGAGGAAACTTTAAAGTTAGAAGATGCCGGTAAATTTGTGCTCGAATCTGTGTTTGGGGACGCGCACAATGAAGTCGACCGCCAGAACGTCATTGACGAACTTCTGGATACCAATCTTGTACGCATCAGCAACAAGAGTGTGCTTTTCAATCAGGAAGTTATGTTTAATAGGCTTACAAAGTACACGGACTTTGTGATTAGCAACCGCCTCAGGTCATTCCTAGGTGATATTGAGGGTAAGGTTCACACTGCCCGCTTGCAAGGAACGGAAACTGAAATTGATAAACGCCTGCAAGAGCTTACTGGTAAATCTGAAGATGAAAGGCCAAAGACACGATATTTGCCTACGCGCGGCACACTGGCTACTCGTGACGCAACGCGCCAGGCATCGCGTAATATGGCATTAGCACGGTCAGCAACATCTATGTCATTGCTACCGAGCAGGCCTGTAACACGCGCCAAAGGTGATGAACAAGAAGATCTGTATCAGGCTTTTGTTGAGGTAAATTTCATTAAGATTCTCTGTTAAAGCACTTTTAAACTTAAAGATACTTTAGATGTAGCGATTGGCAGGTGATAGCTTATAAATCTGTTTACATGGTTTTCGGAATGAAATTTGTACGATTTCTTTTGGAATCAACCCTGATCTCTTTCAATGTTTGCATGACGTTCAAATCCCAAAAAGTAGGGATAGCATGCCTAACTCTATTTGTTGACTTTAAATTATCGTTATTGCTATTTGCAATAACAACGATCATGGTCTTAATTATCACCGGCATCGTAACTTTTTTTCTTCTTTTGAAATTGATGTTATTTACAAAACGCTTTATTTTAGAGCCAAATCGAAGAACTTGGTGACAAAATGGACAACCTGAACCAAGAGTTTGCTAGCCTGACAAGGCAGTCACTGGACTTGACAGAGGAATGTCGATCGCTTGAATCAGAGGTTGCTGCTCAAACCGAGTCTGCGAGATCTGCTGCAGAGAAGTCTTCGGAGTACGCGCATATTACGCAGCTGATTAAGAGTACATATGGCAAGTTGAACGCGATTCGTGCACAGCTTGCTCAAGTAACTGTTGCTAAATCAGAACGCAATAAGCGGCTCCAAATGTATAGAAAGGAGATTGAAGACAAGCAAAGTCAGTTGGACTTCCATAAATCGCAACCGCGGGAAGAACGCGAGAAGCAGAGTCGACGCAAATTAGAGTCAGCGATGGGAAACAAGCAACATGCATCTAAGAAATAAATAGTGCCTTTTGGCAACTTTTGATGGGGTATGTCTGTTTATTATAAAGTGTTTCAAGATGCTGCAGGCAGCATTTTGATTTTAGCTTGGAAGAATACAGACTCAAAAGATGTACAGGAGTTGACTCGGCGATATATCGCCAGAGAAAACTTTTTATTTGTGACCAGCTTGAGTGTAAAATGTATTTGCGTTAGTTTCAAACTTTCTTTTGAAGTGTATGCCTGATTTCGAAAGCTCGTTCTCATCCACCTTCCTTTATCATCTTGCTGCTTTTTCTTAAAGGCATTGGCAAATGTACAAAAGATTTAGGTATTTATTGAAGCTAGAGTCATTAACTTAACATGTTTTTAATTTATTGCTGATTTTAAGTTGTAATATTGTATTTCCAGAAGGCTGTTGATCATAGGTTTTTGGTATTTCTTTGATTTTTATTATGATCTACGTGTTCGTTGTCTTTTTTAATTAGCAGTAATTACGTGAGTAATTCTAATGACAAGAGAATTTGAAATATTTGCCTCATTATCGAGTAAAGGTCCACTTTTGCTGGTCTTATTTTCCCAGAATACTGATGTGATTGAAATCACCTTGATTACTCTGAAAGTTAAGGTTTTCATTTTAAACTACAGACAAGACTATTTTCTGTAAACATATACCTTGCTTATTATACCGAGCATCAAAATATTAACTCTGGCTTTAGCAAATTAGAGATTTGTCTGAATTTTGCCAAGCCCTTTACTTTTCTAGATGCATTGTCCTCAAGTTTTCTGCCATTGAGGCGCTTACATTACCTTTCCACCAAACCTTGTTCACGTGCTATCTTTATTCGATATGAGCAGACAGAACATTTCATGCAAACTGATTTTCTCGATATGTAGTCATTCAAAATAAATGCATAGCATTTAGAAGCTGTATATTTTTCTAACCTGTATTAATTTTTGCACGATTGTTGTAAATACTTCTGTTGAGTGCCCGGGTATTCATGCATTTTAGATCTCGAAATGAGGAAACGTTTTCTTAGACTATTGATTCTATACAACAATAGTTTATTTACACTTTTCATATATCTGTGGGCTGAATCTTGCACTTGTTCCTTTGGTACCGACTGCATGTAACCCTAGTCTCTCCAATTGAAACATTTGGAGGCTAAAAACTGTATCAAGGGGCCTTTTTCGTGGCGAAATTTCGTAGCTGTTTAGATTTAGTTTCGTTACATCCAGTTCAAGGTGTTCCATATTGTGAATGTCAACCTGATCAACGCTACGCATAAGCAAGAGGAAATGTGTTTATTTGAAAAGAGCATTCACACGCACTCAGACACATGACTCTATCCTTTACCTTATCGTTTGTTCCGATTAAGTTTTGTATGCCATGGCGAATTCATAGCAAATTCTAATTCATCTACAGTTCACAGTGCTCCTGCGATTTGCTTTGTCCTTTGAGCAATTCAGCATAAAATTTCCTTTTTTCATCTGATCGATGACATTGTTTCCGGCATCAACACATTCTGTAAATGGTTACTACTCGGTCGCTTTTGCCAATTGATGATGAAACTATGAATTGTGCAATGTCTAAAAGTGTTGCGATTGATATATAAATATTCAATGTTTGCTGGTGTTTAAAATTCACTAGAGTACGTCACATGATCACGCATACATAAACGCTTCACATTTTCGTCAGTGATACCTGGAATCGTAATCAGGGCCTTTAGTTACGTGATGCATGGTTTTATAATTAATAAACAGGGACGAAGGAACCGCGAATGCACCAGGGGCAACTCTCCCCCCCCCCCTTACATTTGGAAAAAATGCCCTTTTCTAGATAGGAACCTCTTTGAAATATTGTCCACTTTTTTCGATGGTGCTCCATCCATCCTGTGCCCCTCAAATCTCCAACAAATGCTTTCAATGTTCCTGTTATTAGATGTGGAGCCCGGTCTTTTTTCTACAGCAGAAATATTAACATGCAAGGGTACGTGTACATTCATGGACACAAAACCGGATGCAGCAGGATGTCTATTACAATTTTTTCAAAACTCAGGAATGTGTATCTTAATAGACGTTAAGGTATAGGGATGTGCCATTATTTAGGGGTACCTTTTCTCTGAATTATCGGTATCAGTTTTTGAAAAATGTGTCTTATTGGTACCATTTGAAGAAACATGCAGAATTATAGGCACCATTTTTTGAAGATATTGCTAAATTATAAGGAGGGAAATTAGTGTTAACAAAATGACAGTCCAGTTAGAAATGAAAGTATGAAGTATATGTAATATTTTGGGGCAAAGGACATACAAAATTTGTTAGGTGATTTTGTTTTCTTAGCAAATGTTATTTGCTTTGCAAAATTATGGGTATAGTTCTAAGCATTTTTGCGGATTTATGGTTCACATTTTTTCAGACATGGGTCACGTCACTGTCCAAAATTAGTTACCATCCTCCTGAGGTCCGAAAGCATGATAACATACAAAAAAGTCATTCCAGGTCCGTTTTTAGTGCCTGCTAAGTGCTAACCAGAGGCGTACCCAGGGCTGCAGCAATGGGGGGGTCTGGGGCCGAGCCCCCAGAAATTTGTTTGGATCACGCCCTTCAGACACTCGCAAATGCGGGGAAACGCCCTTTTTGCAAAATGTCACCCCATTATTTGATTAATGTTAGCTACGGTAAATAGCAAAGTATTTTACAATTGTTATTGACACAAGCATACAGTATACTACACTCCCCCCAAATGAATTTTAAAACATTTTGGGACAAATCTCGAGGATCATATTTTTGAAAAGTTGGGGGGTCCGGACCCCCCTATTCCCCTTGGGTACGCCACTGGTGCTAACCCTTCATTTTACAATGCCGTAAAACTTTCTATGGTTTAGCCTTCCTTGGCAGCGAGGGAACTGATGTCTTGGCAATTCTTTGTGCCAACCAACCTTCTATTCAAACTTCTGTTACACAGCCATACATCACTTGAAGCATTGTTGAAAAATCGAAACAAAATGCTCACAAAGAATTCCATATATATGTGATTAATAGATTTTTAGTGCCACAACTGACCATCTCAGCTGTCAGAATGCTGTTTATTGCTTTATTGTTTGAATGCTAGAAACTCTTTTGAAAGCTCTGGAAAATTCACTCTCACTTTAACATTAGCTCTAGCATTGATCGCAGACTGGCAAAAAGGACTTGAAATCAAAGTCATCATGTTGAAATTAGTTTACACTAAAAACTATTCGTTCGGTTCGGTTCGATTCGAGTTGTTCAGAAAAGCTAAATTTTGAAGCTGCATAATATGGAATTCGCGGCCTGATTCTCAAACAACAAATTTTTGGTAAAGACTTATTTCAACATGAACATTTCAACTCTGCGATCTATTTTTGACAAATATGAAGATTAAAAGTTGAAAAGGCTTTCTAGGAAAAGAGAATTGGTCAAAAATTCCTTACAAAAAATAGTTTTTCGAAGAAACGGTTTTTTTTCTAAGAAAATCACCAGATATAAACAAACTGTCCTAACATGCTTTTCGTTTTCTAAGGGAATTTGATTGTTATTAAGCTTGGTTTCCACTATGAGTTAACGTGAGTTAATTTGAGATAATTTTGTGATCCGAGTTGGTTTAAAAATTATCTCATAGTGGAAACGCTCATGAAAAATTATTTCATGAAAATTAACTCACGCTAACTCACGTTATCTCATGAGCTTGGAAACAAAATTTTTTGATTTCAAGCTCATGAGTTAACTTGAGATAACATCTTATCAAAAGAAGCCGATGCGTGGGAGGGGAATGTGCTATAATTTGCACTGAGGTTCTTACGCAACGCACTTGCACTGAGTATTACTTTAGATGTTGAAAACAGTTTTCTTTACTAACAAAAATTGATTGTGAAATAAGAGAAACATTTTCTCATTTCTAAGATCCTGTTGCAAGTGGTCGTATTCACCAAACGCATATCTTTTTTTGGTAGACTCTCCGTACAGAAAACCTTGGCGCAGATCGCGAACGGCACTTCTAGCAAAAAATATTTTCCTTCTAAGTATTCTCAAAAGCAGAAGTAAAATAAGTTGTTCTTGTAAGACGCCCGCCATAGCTGCAAGACTCAAATAAAATGTGATTTCTGAAATTTCCATACTTAATTCTATCTCAAGTGGAAACCGAATCGGTACATGGGTTAATTTTGAGATAGCTCGCGTTATCTCACGCTATTTCACACTATCTCAAGTTAACTTGAATTTAGACCATGAGTTAATTTTCAATTTAGCTCAGAATTATCTCACGTTAACCCATAGTGGAAACCAAGCTTTAGGTTTTTGAAGAAGCAATGGTTTGACGAGCAACACAAAAGAGTGACGCAATTTCCGATTTGGAAGGTTAGCGCAGAGTGTCACGTGTTTCGATGCATTTTTAGGTCAGGGATCACATGACATTAACTGCTTTAACTTCCTTCACGTTCGAGCCATACTTCCTTTATCGACATTGTCTATAACCAGTTTGGGTGTTCTACAGAAGCGAGGGCAATCTTTACAGACAAGAAGATCGGCAAAAATGACTGCACTAAGGATTTTACTAATTTCACTTCTGTTAACCATTGGTAAGTTGTTGCGTTGCTACCCATATAGAAAGTTTTAAGTTAATTTGCAGGCAGATGACCCGGCCATTGAATGAGCGGTTTTGAACAGTTTATGTAAAAGTTGTACACTGACCAGCTTATTCAACGCCTCATCCGGGGGGTAAATCACTCTTCAAAAATCTTGTAGATCTTTGATGAAAATCTGATTGTTTTATGTAAATATTCCTGCAAACCCTTTGTTTTGGTGGAAATCTATACGCTATTTGCATGAGTGAATTGCCCCTTGGCCTCGTACCGTAAGTCAAACATCTAACTCGTGATCTGTGATCTGCAGCCATAGTCTCCAAAATTTAATCACAAAAATACGATTTCAATCTACTGCCTCAACGCCATGGTACCCTTTTATGATCCCGAATTATCGGCTTTGAGGCCTTGGTACCGAAGGTAGCCCCTAGTCCAGGGTCACTCCAGCTATGGCCCCCGCTCTCTTGTAAAACGACGCTGGGACACTTAATCTTTTTTGGCAAGCTTGTAGTTTTACTTGCCCCCTCTACTCAAGTCAAGCAGTACATCTTCATTACCTGATTGAGAGTTTCTGTTTTTTAGAGTTTCAAAGGGCAAGCGCCTGGATCCCCTTCATTTTGGATTTTGTCAAGTCTAGGTCACGCATGTTGTAGCCCCTAGATTACACGTTTTTTTATTTATAAGAAACTTGTTTATAAGAAACCTGTACGAGGATGGCCAAAACTTTGGTACGCGGCTCAAGAGCACGAATCCAAAAGTTTTTACTTTGTTGATTTTTCTTTGGAAAAGGTATTTTTCGTGGCGAACTGTGTTTATATTCTTCCAAAACTGCTCAACTTCAAAACAATAAGGAAATTTCAGGTCCAGAAAAAAGAAACCAACCAAGAAACTTTTCGTACTAAAACGCCAAAATTTGGATGCCATGTTAAGAATCTTCTAGTTGTTAGTGCTGATCCACGTTTTTTATAAAAAAAACGTGTAAGGCATCCGCGGACAGTGTTCATCGATTGCTTAAACTAAATTTCATCCGAATACCCAACGATGTTAAGTTTTAAGATTATAGTTTTCCTTTACTTTCGACATAAAAACCAAAGCAAATCTTTCCTTCTTGCTTTTGCTTTTTTGTATCATTTTGAAGTAAAGAAAATGATTGAATCTGACTGATTATATAACTATCCCTCCAACCCTGCAAACTAGTGCCCAGATCCCATTTTTCAGCGATCTAATGTCGTTACAACATATGAAAGAGGGCGAATACCGTTACAAGATAAGGACTTTCGGGAATATTTCACGGTCGCACCCCTCAAAACGCTTGAAGAAAGCCTTTTGATGATGAATGCTACTTCACCATACAAGAAAACGAAAACCTTGTCTGAGAGGGAAATATTGCAATCACGGTCTATGCTAACTGTTGAGCACTGACAATTTTACTTAAACTAAGACAAGGTATCTTATTAGAACACATTAAACCAGAAACTTGGCTTAGTATTGGTATTGTTTGTTCTCAGGAGTGGCGGCATGGGGGGGCAAGGGGGGGCTTTAGCCCCCCCTAGATTTTTGTTAGCCCCCCGTCGGCAGCCAATCAATTTTTGCTTTCTCAATACCGTCGGCACTTGATGGATGTCACCCGGTTTACATGTTGTTTAAATGACATAAATAATCGAGGAGAAAACTGCACTGGCTGGTTTATGATTTTCTCAATGGCTTTTCTTCGGCAATTTTATTATCAAAGTGGCATTATATCCTGTCGCTTCCGTGATAGCTGTGACATTGTTTCATGGTGCTCCCTCGCATGACCCACAATACCATGGTGCTCCTCTCGGTTGAAATTCCTGTTGCTGCTTGGAATTCATGCGAAACGTGCAGATGCTTGATTTGGATCATGTTTTGGACCGTTTCAAGGAAATTTACCCTAACAACAGCAAAATCACGCTGTCATAAATAAAGTCTTTAATGAATTTTCTTCTTAAGGGATTCTCTTTTCGTTTCAAGACATTATTATTGCCAATGAAAACATTTCGATCATGAGCTCATTTTGCGTAATAAATTTTTCAAAAAGCACTTCTTGTCCTTTTTCATCAACTATTTTTCAATAGCATTGTTCACCGCATAGCTTGCGACAAACAAATGGTTTAGAGAAAACCATTGATTAACTTCTTCCACCATAGATAGGAAGAAATATTCAACAATAGGCAATATTTGCGCATTAAGTTTCTAACAAGGCACAAATTGCCGAAAAAATCTGGTGGACTCCGACACAGGTTGGAAAGTGGGGGACGGGAAAAGGGCAAGGGAGAATTTTGCACCCACAACAAAAGATTTTGGAAAAATGCTCTATTGCTTTGTAAAAAGGTGGGGGCCATGACCCTTCGGTGCCCCTTCATTGGAGGTGCTTTCAGGGGCGTCGCGACTGGGGGGTTGTCATACCAACCCCAATAGTATCTCAATAGGAAATTTCAGGTAAAATCCGTTCGGTGGGAGAAACGCTTTAGGTATTTCAGAGACCTTCCTGTCATAAAATCAATAAAGGATCAAGCAATCTTAGGTAAAATTGTGCCTCGTGTTCATTTCTCCTAAAGTTTCTCAGTAGAAGCGTCAACTGCAATTCACTATGAGCTCCACATTCAAAAGGCATGCTAAGATGGAGAGAGGGATCTAAATTTAGAAGTAACTGACAACCTGGTATTTTTCAAGACCACGGCGAAATTGTTGTTTTTATCTGCTGTAAAAAAGTTTTGCAAAAAGACAATAATTTTCAATGGGAAGGAGGATTGCTTTAGTGGAATCTGCTTAAAAGGGTGCATTTTCCAGGGAACTAGAAGCATCACAATTCGAAAATTTCCTTCCCCTTCGGCGGCAACCAGTGCCGCCTCAGGTAGTAACTATATATTTTGCCCGTCCCGATATAGAGATTTGACAAGACTATTAGGAAAGTCGGTTATCTTACAGAGTTAGATTGACAAAATGTATTGCAGAGGTTTGTGGCACCAGCTAAAAAGTTTCAGGCAATAATTTTTTAATCAGGTAAATTTGCATTCCACCCCCCCCCCCCCCCAACGAGGCTTGCCTTGCGACGGCCCTGCCTGCTATACGGGGCAAATCGATTTTTTTTCTGTCGGCAATTTGACACATCCAGCGTCGGCAGTTACGGAGAATATAAACTTCGGCACCTTGAAGGTTTGTCTCTAGCGCCACCCCTGTTTGTTCTCTGTTCAACTTTTCAAAAAAAACTAATTAGTAGCTTATAGTGGCTGACTTTAAGATATAAAAATGTATACAAACATCCCATTCAACACAAGAAGATTCTGGAAAAAGAAGGGAGAGCTTAAAGACCTTTAAACTAGCGGCTTATTAGCTTAAGCACTTTTAATATGGGGGCCTATTTGAGGGAGGCTTATTCGAAAGGGAACTTATAAGAGTCGTCTATAGGTTGCCACATAAAATATACGTGAATTTGCAAATTTATGTGATAAATCTTTTTAAAATACTTTAAAAGGCATAGGTAAAGGTTCAAAAGATATATTCTAGTCTTAAATATTGATATTCTCATTGTTTTGCGCCGTTCATTTTAGTTTTTTTCATTCGCCACTGAATGTGTTACCAATTATGAGCTGAAGTGGTGTATATTCAAGTGGTGTATAAAAATTGATGTGTTAGGGTAGGGGTTCTTTCGGCGAGGGGGGGGGACTTTTTTAAGGATTTACGGTACCGCAAATTTGAGATGTATGACGGATGACAGTATCATCTATCTGAAATACCTAGGGGAGACTATAGTTCAACCCCTATGCTTTAATACGGTTGAACGGTGATGCAAGTGATTTTTGAAGGGAATTCCCAAAAATAAAGAGGGTGTTTAGGGTCGCTGCATGCTGCATAAGGAATGCAGACTTAAGTCATAACAGAGAGAGGGGATTTTCCTATGGATCATACCCAGTGAGTATTTTCAATGCGTTTGTAAGTACCGCAATGCGGGTTTTCGTTGTATTTGCACCAAGTATTTGCGAAACTGTCATAATAAAATGCATGAAATCTGAAATACTTGTTTTAAATCGTAGATGCTTAAAATTACTTCATAACTTGATAGGTTCAAAGGAATTGGGAGAACAAGCATGGTCCAATAGATGAGTTCACTTTAGCCCAAAAAGAATATAGAATTTGATTAATACAAATTACCAATGGCAAGTCAATAGTCAACATGATATCTGCCATTAGTAAAATGCCACGAGACCAAAGAGCTATCGTAATATATGTATTGTTCGGTACTTATTGGCATAAATTATTTTTGCACATGGAGAATAACTATAATCACTTGAAAACAGCCCAAAACAACTTCTAAGTTGCCTATCAACAGTGATGATGATTAATTTTTATCTCAAATGTTGGCGTGTGTCACTCAAATTGCCGATACATCAGTTTTACTCATTTTTGAATTCTAAAATTCTGAATCTTTAAATCCAATTGTGCACAATTTTTCGAAACAGAAAATTCCTTCAAATAATCCAGAGACCCGAAAGTAATTGGGACTACAAGCCCTATTCAAAAGTTTCAAGTATTGAAACTATGGAATGAAGAAAAAATGCATAGAATGAAGTGAAAACTATTGTAGTTATGGAATCCCAATACTAACGGTGACGGGGGTGAGAGCACGGGGGCGAAAATATTCTCTAAAATCAATAATTATACTTTTATTTCCCCCTAATTTCCAGTGTTTCTCATCGCTGCAAATTTCTGTGAATTTCGGATTGGTAGTATGGAGCAGTGGCGTACCCAGGGCTGAGCCAGTTAAGGGGTCTAGGGCGGATCCCTTGAAAAAAATTTGGACCACGCCCTTCAGACACTCGCAAATGCGGGGAAACGCCCTTTTTTGCAAAATGTCACCCCGTTATTTGATTAGTGTTAGCTACGGTAAATAGCAAAGTATTTTAAAATTGTTATTGACACAAGCATACAGTATACTACACCCCCCCAATGAATTTGACATCATTTTTGGACAAATC